CCCCCCCCCGAAAAAAAAAAAAAGCTAGCGATGGACGCTGGTGGCTCACACCTGTAATCCTAACTACCCAGAAGGCCGAGGTTTGAGGATCACAGTTCAAAGCCAGCTCAGACAGAAAAGTCCCTGAAACTCTTTCTTCAGCTAACCACAAAAAGCTGGAAGTGGTAGAGCTTGTTTGAAACCTTGAGCATAAAAGCTCAGGCACAGAACCCAGACTCAGAGTTCGAGCCCCAGGGCCAGCAAAAAGAAAAAAGAAAAGAAAACCAGTGGGCTGGGGGAATGGGTTAGCAGTAGACCATGTACTTACTAGCATGCACTAGGCCCTGAACTCCATCCTTAACACATAGACAAACAAAAGTGGGCATGTTCTAGGGCAGATATTAGGAGGAACCTTCCAGGAATGTTGCCCCAGGCTAGCTTAGCAGCTCAGGTTCTGCCCTGATCCTGTGAAACTGGGGAATGACTTGTCTGGGGACCTCGGGCCAAGGTGTTGCATAGCTCCTCCCCCCTTTGCTTAACTAAGTAGAATGGGGGCAGCTGCAAGGAGGACGGGAGGCCTAACCATCTGTGGTCAGACCAGGCGAGCCTTTCCTTACGCCACTGGCTGGTTCCTGGCATAATGGCTGGTTTGGAGCTGCCAGTGTGAGATCCCCAGCTTAGAGCTGGGGAGCAATGTGCAGTAGACACCTTCACGCAAGACTTCCCTATCAGTAGCGCACTGTACAGATAACAGTGAAACGTGGGCGACTGTGAGGAGGGGGGGCTCTCTGCGTCAGCACTGCAGCACTGGTTTCCTTGAGTTTGGGGTTGACGGCTGTGTGTTGAGCCCCGGGCCTGGGTGCCACCAAGCCACACTGCACCCCTGGCCCTTTTGCTTGTTGTTTTTTTGACAGTGCTGGGATTTGAACTCAAGGCCTGGCCTCACAGTTGTTAGGATAGCACTCATCACCTTGCCATGTCTTCAACTCCTTTTTGCTTTGGTTATTTTTCGCATAGGGCTTTGCTTTCTGTCCAGGCCAGCCTGAACTGTGCTCTGCCTAGTTATGCTTCCTCTGTAGCTGAGAGGCACACACTTCTAAGCCCAGCTTTTTTTGTTTTTTTTCCCTAGTCCTGGAGCTTGAATTCTGGGCCTGGGCACTGTCCCTGAGAGTTTGCTCGTGGCTAGCACTCTACCACTTGGCCCACAGTGCCACTTCTGGCCTTTTTTGTTTATGTGATACTAAGAAATTGAACCCAGGGCTTCATCCTGATAGGCAAGCACTCTACCACTCAGCCACATTCCCAGCCGTATGCCCAGCTTTTATTGGTTGAGATGGGGTCTGGTGAACTTTTGCCTTGGCTGGCTTCAAAATGCAGGCCTCCCAATCACCACCTCTTGAGTAGCTGGGACTGTAGGTACAAGCCACCATACCCAACTCAGACAGGATCCCACTAACTTTGCCACCCCAGGCTAGCCTTGAACTCCTAACCCCCCTGTCTCTGCCTTCTGAGTTGCTGGAATTATAGGCATGTATCACTACTCCCATAAGACTTTTTTTTGGGGGGGGGCCTGAACTCTGGGCCTGGGCTCTGTCCCTCAGCTCTTCAGCTCAAGGCTAGCGCTCTACCACTTGAGCCACAGCACCACTTCTGGCTTTTTTTTTCTGCTTATGTGGTGCTGAGGAATCGAACCCAGGGCCTCAAACATGCAAGGCAAGTGCTCTACCACTGAGCCACCTTCCCAGCCCCCCATAAGACTTTTTTAATAGTATCTTCCTTCCATAGCCAGCTCACAAAATTCCTAAAAATGCAAGTCCTGCTGCCCTTCAGGAGGCTGTATGACCTGGGCCAGTTGACAAGCCTGAGCTGCGGCCTCCCCACCGGTCGGGGGCCTACCCAGCAGCCCATTGTCATCTGGCCAGGGACACAGAATGTTCTGGCTGAGGCAGGCACGGCGGCCTCACTGTGCCCGCGGGAGGTGCTGGGCTGGGTGTCAGGGCTGAACAGGCCTCCTGTTTGTTGTTAGGCCCCATGGATTGGGAGGGACTGCGTGGAGCCTGGCTCCAGCTGGAATTCTCTCTGGCTACACTCTCCCTCTGGAGGGTTGCCCTCCAGAGGCTCACTGAGTTAGGGGTGCAGTATGCTTCTGTGCCCTGGTGCGTTCTTGGGGCACCAGGCTAGTTTCCTGTGCCTGGAGCACAGATGGTTTCTGGGAGCAGTGAGCGCCACTTCTGGCCACGCACTTGTCTATGTGGTGCCCACAGCACGTGTGGGGGCAGGTCTGCTCAGATCCCTGTTGGGCAGTGGGTCCGTGGAAGTGAGAGAGGCTGAGCAGCTTGCCCAAAGGCACACAGCTGCCAGGATGAAACAGCGGACCGAAGCAGGCTTGTGCGCATGCTGCTGTACGCCCACAGCACCCACAGGCGGCAGGTGCCGTCCATCTGCTCATTAGTGATGGGGAAACTAAGGCAGAGAGCTACAACTAGTGTGTCCCAAGGACTGTGGTGTAATGGCTGGAACCCGGCCTGTGAGCACTGACCTGATCTCCTGTCCTGCAGGCACAGGGAGCCTGGCCGCCGCGGTGGAGACAGCCTCAGGCCGCCAGGCCCTGGTGGTGGGCAAGCCCAGCCCCTACATGTTTGAGTGCATCACGGAGCACGTCCCCATGGACCCCGCCCGCACGCTCATGGTGGGGGATCGCCTGGAGACCGACATCCTCTTCGGCCACCGCTGCGGCATGACCACCGTGCTCACACTCACGGGCGTCTCACGCCTGGAGGAGGCCCAGGCCTACCTAGCGGCTGGCCAGCACGACCTGGTGCCCCATTACTATGTGGAGAGCATCGCGGACTTGATGGACGGGCTGGGGGACTGAGCCCACTGACCTGTCGCGCTCCCTCCCGCCCCCTGAGCCCCCTAGACAGACGCGGGGCTCATGCCTTGTGAACCACGTTCTATGCCGTGGGTGCCCTGGCCTGTCTCTTCACCTTGGTGGGGTTGGGACCCAGGGGCGGTTTGCCCTGACAGTGGCTGGGCCCTGCTGTTCCAAGGCTCCCCTGGCCTGACCCAACCAGGTGGCCTTATTTGCTGCCCTGTCCCCTGCCCTCTGCGAAAAATGGGCCCTGGTGCCCACCGAAGGTTCCCTGACCCTGAACACTTGATTTCCTCCCTGTCTCTAGGTCCCCCGGGAGCCCTGCCACCACCAGGGGGCCCTCCAGCTCCGGCTGGCCAGTCGGAGGTCTGGGTAGCTACAGCCATTGTCTTAGGAAACCAAAGGAGGACGAGTGACAGACAGTGAGTCCCTGCCATCAGTCCCGAGAGGAGCAGTGACCCCCGCCTGTCCTCAGTGCACCAATCAGAAGCCAAGCTATGGCCCTCCTTGCATGTCCGAGGACCTGGGGACACCGAGTAACCACCCACTGGTCTCTTAGACCCCCTGTAGAACAGTGTGGAAGTCCGGGAGACGGTGGCTCCTTGGCAGTCTGCAATTGGCTGCACAGGCCAAGGAGTCCAGATTTCAGTAAATAAATATGGGGCTGAGTATGAAGACACTCCTCCACAAAGCTTGGGGACCTCGGGGCTGCTGTGGAGAGCTCCATCCCTCTATGGCCCCTGTCCAGTGTTGACAGTGGCCACAGCTGGGCAGGCGGTCTGCCCCCCCCCCAGCCCCTGCGTCAGTGTTGTGTCACCTTCCCCAAGCCCATGTCCAGCTATTTATTTATTTATTATGTGCCAGTAGGTGGGGGCTGGGCCCTCCCACTCCCTCTCCCGGTTGTAACCAGTCCTTAATAAAGTGCCCGTGGGAGTGTGTGTCTGCTCCAGTCCGTGGCCCCAGGGGAGACTGCTGTCCCCAGTGCTGCCTTCACCGCCCGCTGCCCGTCATCCCATTTCTGGACTTCAAGGGCGCAGAGCTGACCGAGCTGCTCTTAACGCACCGCTGAGCCCTCATCGGCCAATCTGTTTCAGCCCATCGAACACTAGTGAGGCCAGCGCCAGGGGTTCATGCCTGTAAGCCTAGCTACTCCAAGAAGCTGAAATCAGGCTCACAGTTCAAAACCAGCCCAAGCCCTGAGTTCAAGCACCAGTACCAGCACACACATAAAAGCAAAAGCCAGTGAGCCAGCAGTCGGGTCAGGAGGGACATAAAGGATTGGGACTAGCTCGGTGGTTGAGAGCTGGCCCAGCACTATAAGAAACTGGCTACGGGGCTGGGGAGGTGGCTCAGTGGCAGAGCGCTTGCCTAGCATGCCTGAGGCCCTGGGTTCGATTCCTCAGCACCACATGAGCAGAAAAAGCCGGAAGTGGCGCTGTGGCTCAAGTGGTAGAGCGCTAGCCTTGAGCTGAAGAGCTGAGGGACAGCGCCCAGGTCCAGAGTTCAGGCCCCACAACCGGACCCAAAAAAAAAAAAAGAAACAATGGCTACGCACATTTACCCAGAATACACAGCTGGTCAGTAACTGACATTGAGCCAACTCCAGGAGGCTGTGGCTCCCCCTGGAAACTGGGCAGGAGAATGCAGGCTAGGGTTCTACCTGTGGGATCAGATGCAGTGGCCACACCCAAGGAGCTGCTGCTCAGCTTCCTGGTGCTAAACATGTGTAGGCCACTGTGTCATCTCTGAGGCATCCCAGAGGAGAGGCCCGCCAGCCTGAGGGCAGAGGCTGTGTACAGTGCACTCTAGGCAATGATTGCAAAGGGCCCGCTTGCATTTCAGGCTCCTTCCTGCTTCAGAGTCCCGGAGGTCTTGTCTAGCCCGTCCACAGGGGGTCGGAGATTCTAGCAGCCCTAACTCCCTCGTGAAGCTAGAGAGAAGTGCCTGCCTGTGACAGACTCCGTGCCGCCTGCAGAGGTCTAGCAAGTGGCCTGGCACTTCTCAGGGCTTTGTGCTGGGCCCCCCAGCCCCCCAGGGCAGATTCTCACTGGAGTGGCTTGAGTCAAATGCCCAAAGGGTCAGGCGGCAGTGCTGGTCCCAACAGTGGCAGTGTGAGTCACTGACCTGTGCTGGAGATGTGGGACACTCCTGCCCACTGTCCATTGAGAACTTACCATTTGGGGTGTGTGTGTGTGTGTGTGTGCCCGTGTGTGCCCGTGCGCGCGCACGCGCATGTGTGTCCCAGTACTGGGACCTGAACTCTGCCTTATACTCTTCCCTTCACCTCTTCGCTCAGGGCTGGTATTCTACTACTTAACCCCTGGGTCTGTTTCCAGCTTTTTGGTGGCTAGTTGGAGGTAAGAGTCTCATGGACTTTTTGCCTGTGCTGGCTTTGAACTGAGACCCTCAGATCTGAGCTTCCTGAAGGGGGTTACAGGCATGAGGTATCACTGCCTCACTGTCCTGGTCGTTCTTGACATAGGATCTTGTTTTTTGTCTGGACCAGCCTATTTTATGCTTCCTATGGCTGGGTGGCAGGTGTGTGTCACCAGACCCGCCTGCTGGCTGAGAAGGGACCGGGAGGACACCCTAGGCTGGTCTGGAATCAGCCCCCTGATCTCAGCCTCTCCAGTAGCTAGGATTACAGGCGTGAGCCACTGGCGCCAGGCAGGACACAGATCTGAGGTGATTTCTTTGAAGTACTGGATGAATCTACCACAGGAACTCTAGCTCCAGAGTCTTGCCAACTGAAAGCTTTCCTTCCTTTTAAAAGCAGTTGAGGTTTCTAGTTACTTGATATGTGGACTTCCAGCACATCATAGAAAACAAGGATATACCCACATCCCAAACTAAGGATACATTCATTAAGCTGGGCACCAGTGACACGCCTGTAATCCTAGCTACTCCGGATGCTGAGATTTGAGGACTGTGGTTTGAAGCCAGCCCAGACAGGAAAGTATGAGATGGTTAATCTCCAGTTTAACCACCAAAAAGCCAGAAGTGGATCTGTGGCTCAAATGCTAGGATGGCATCCTTGAGTGAAAAAGCCAAGTGAAAGCACCCTGGCCCTGAGTTCAAGTCAAAGTGCTGGCACACAAGAAAGGAAAAAAAGATTTGTTCTCAACAGTTGCTTCTTGAAATGCTTATGGGATCATGAGCTGGACACTGGTAGCTACTGAGGAGGCTGAGATCTGAGGATCACGGTTCAAAGCCAGCCCTGGCAGCAAAGTCTGTGAAACTCATCTCCAATTAACCATCAGAAACTGGAAGTGGAGCTGTGGCTCAAAGTAGCAGAGTGTTAGCCTTGAGCAAGGGAGTTCAGGGATAGCACCCAGGCCCCATGTTCAAGCCCTGTAACCAACAAGCACATGAGGGATCATGGATGGGAAGTGAGGTGTGGTCATTGAGGACTTGTTCTTTTTTGTGTCGGTACTGGGGCTTGAACTCAGGGCCTGGGTACTCCCATTTGTCTTTTTCATTCAAGCCTGCACTATATCCCTGAAGGCACACCTCCACTTCTGGCCTTTTGGGAATGTGGCTTATTTGATAGAGAGCTTGCCCTGCATGCTTGAAGCCCTGAGTTCGATTCCTCAGAACCACATAAACAGAAAAGGCTGAAAGTGGTGCTGGGGCTCAAGTGGTACAGTGCTAGCCTTGAGCGAAGGGACAATGCCCAGACCCTAAGTTCAAGTCCCGGGACTGGCAAAACAAAAACGAACCAAAGTCACAAACTTTCCTGTCTTGGTTGGCTTTGAACCATAGTCCTCAAGATCTCAGCCTCCTGATTGGCTAGGATTACAGGCATGAGCCACTAGTGCCCCAAAAATGGGTGTTTTAGTTTAAAGGCAGGTGATGGAAGGTACACAGGCATCTAGTGTCACTTTGTACCCCCCCCCAGCCCTGGGGCTTGAACTCAGGGCCTCGGCACTGTCCCTGAGCTGCTTCTGTTCAAGGCTAGCACTCTACCACTTGGGCCACAGCACCACTTCTGGATTTTTCTATTTATGTGGTACTGAGGAATCAGACCTGGGCTTCCTAGATGCTAGGCAAGCACTCTACCACTGAGCACGTCCCAGCCCATTTCATGCATTGTTTGAGAACTGGCCAATGCTGCTTCTCTTAGTTTTTGTATTACATAGCATTTCCCCCCTCAAAGTTCAGACTGGGAAGTATAGCTCAGGAGGCAGAGTACTTGCTAGGAAAATGGAGGCCCTGACCCACCCCCAGTACTGCTGGGTGGGTAGAAGGAATCAGACTACAGTTTGTTTTGAGCAAGTCACTCCTGACTGCCCTGTGTCCCGCTGTCAGCTCTTCTATCAAAGCTGTGTGATTGTCGTGAATACTGTAATCCATACCCATTTGATTCTCCAGCTACTGCACACAACACATTTCAAGTTTCTGGGTTGTTCTGAGGCTGTCTCAGGCCATGTTGCCATCACTCAGAACTGTCTTTACCTCTCTATGCACAATTGAGAATAAGCCATCTCCAAACTGAGTTCAAGTAGCTCATGGCTGTTCTGTACCCAGACTGTCCTTCAGAATGTAGTAGCACAATCATCTTCAGGGCTAGATGAAGCCTGCACAGAGCAACCTGTGGAAATAGATTCTCTCTAGATTATCTCTCTCTCTCTCTCTCTCTGTTTCTTTCTGTCTGTCCCTGTCTGTCTCTTTCTGTCTCTGTCTCTCTGTCTCTGTCTCTCTCTCTCTCTTTTAAGGTCTTGAACTTGGGGCCTCATGCTCTTGTTTGGCTGGCACTTTACCATGTGAGCCAGATCTCCACCCTCTTCTCTGAGCACCCTCTTCTCTCACTATATAGCTCAGGCTGGCCTTGAACTCAAGATCTTCCTGCCTCAGCCTCCCAAGGGCCAGGATTACATGTGTGTCTCACCAACCTAGCCATCTACTCTTTTTTGTTTGTTGGTTGTGGGGCCTGAACTCTGGGCCTGGGCGCTGTCCCTCAGCAATTCAGCTCAAGGCTAGAGCTCTACCACTTGAGCCACAGCACCACTTCTGGCTTTTATGGCTTATGTGGTGCTGAGGAATCGAACCCAGGGCCTCATGCATGCAAGGCAAACACTCTACCACTGAGCCACCTTCTTAGCCCATTCTACTTACTTTTGAAGGAAATTTGCTTTGGGTATTACTTGGTTCTCAGGATCTAACTTAGAGCTTGCTGGTCTCTAGGAATACTTGCAAACACTTTCAAAGAAAAACCCAACCTACAAAACTGTTTTCAAATATAATGAATTTTTAAAATATAATTTTATTGTTGTTATTAAGGTGTTGTACAGACAGGTTACAAATTCCTTAAGTCAAATACCGAGTACAATTCTTGGACAATGTCCCCCTTTCGTTTACTTTCCCCTAGTTTCTCTTCTGTCCCTGCTCACAAGTTCCAAAAGCAATGAATTTTTATAACTAGCAAGTTAATATTCCAATACTTTTGAACACACAAAACATTAATTTCAGCTTTGCAGTTTAAGTGTTTCAGAGCCAATACTTTTTTTTTTTTTTTTGCCAGTAATAGGGTTGGAACTCAGGGCCTCATACTTGCTTGGCTGGCATTCTACCACCAGCCACACCTCAAGCCCTGTTTTTTTTTTTTTGCTGGTTATTTTGGAGCCAATAACACTTGGTCTTCAGGTCTCAAAATAATCTCTAAGCTTTTTTAAAAAAAAAAATTCTTACTAGGCTGGGAAGGTGGCTCAGTGGTAGAGCGCTTGCCTTGCATGCATGAGGCCCTGGGTTCAATTCCTCAGCACCACATAAGCAGAAAAAAAAAAGCCAGAAGGGTGCTGTGGCTCAAGTGGTAGAGTGCTAGCCTTGAGCTGAAGAGCTGAGGGACAGTGCCCAGGCCCAGAGTTCAGGACCCACAAAAAAATTCTTACTGGGCTGGGAAGGTGGCATAGTGGTGAAGTGCTTGCCTAGCATGCATGAAGCTCGAGCTTGATTCCCCAGTATCACACAAAACAGAAAAAATGTCAGGCACCGGTGGCTCATGCCTGTAATCCTTGCTACTCAGAAGGCTGAGATCTGAGGATCACGGTTCAAAGCCAAACTGGGCAGGAAAGTCCGTGAAACTCTTATCTCCAATAAACCACCAGAAAACTGAAGTGGTACTGTAGATCAAGTGGTAGAGTGCTAGCCTTGAACTGAAGAACTGAGGGACTGTGCCCAGGCCCAGAGTTCAAGCACCATGACTGACAAAAATAAAAAAAGCTGGAAGTGGCTCTGTGGCTCAAGTGGTAGAGTTCTAGCCTTGAGCAAAAGAAGCTCAGGGACAGTGCCCAGGCCCTGAGTTAAAGCCCCAGGACTGGCAGCAAAAAACAAAACAAAACAAAACTTACTAGGATTACAGGCCACACCTTATAAGTAAGAAAAAAAAAAAATCAAGGCACCCCGCTGGGCACAGGGCCTGACAGATAAGTGGGCGCCACTTCTGAGAGGCCCTGATGACCTGCCTGCCATCACCCCCAAACCACAGTTCCTGCTGGAATCTGGAGAGTCTCCTCAACACAGCTGAAGCAATGGGGTAAGTGGGGAGCAGAGTGGGAAGAGGCACACCAGGCAGAGGGGTTGCCAAAGCCCCTCCCCCCCAGAAAGGCACACGGCCGTCACCCACTCAGTCTTCTTGTACACCAAGTCTATTCTGCCCTGTACTCCCCTGCAGGGTTTCACCCCTCCACTTCCTGTTTGTAAAAGGGAAAACTGAGGCAAGCAAGAGGCCCGACTTGCCAGGATGCCCTGGAGAGGAGGGCAGCAGACTTGAAGGTCTCTAGTTCCCAGTGAGGGCCTTTCTGTGCACATGGCCGCTATGCCAGGTGCTCAACTGCCAGCCTAGGCCTGGGTCTGTGCAGGAGTGTCATACCACAGCCCCCCAGCCCCTCCATGCAGGTCTCTGTCCAAAGTCCCCTCCCATTCCTGATGCTGCAGAGGGAGACACACTAGGGAGAGGCAAGGAGGCGGCTGGGCTGGGCCCCATCCAACCCTTCAGATGACTGAGGTTTGGGGAGGCCCCACCACAGGAAAAAGTGAAGCCCCAGCGGCTGGTTCCCCAGGCAGCCGCTTGGTCAGAGAGGAGGAGCGGGGGCTGGAGAGCAGCCCAGACCCACTCGGGCTGGCCAAGCGCCCTGCACCCTCCTGCTCTCCCCCATTCCCTCACCAGCTCTGGAAGCAGAAGATGCTGGGAGTGGGAAGGGAGCTGGGCCGCGGCGGGGAGGCCGGGCCTCCAGATGGGAGTCACTCCTAGGCCCCCATCTTCCTCCCTCTCTAGGGCTGGCAGTGAAATTTCAGAATGGGGGACAGCCGTTCAGAACAAGAGGTTCCCTGGACAACTTCCCTAACATGTCGTTCCTTGCCCAGTGCCCCCTAGGCCCCTCTCTTCACCTGGCTTCTGACTGTGAGCTGAGAACCTCTGTAGCCCACCCTCAACTCCACTGCTATAGTGATCTTCTCTCCAGTCCACATCTGGCCTGAACATGACACCCGCCATACCTTCTATGGCTCCCAGCTTCGTCAGATGAAGCAGTGTCCAAGCTCTCCACCAGGCTGGTGAGGCCCTTCGCCACCCGGGCACTGCGGCCTCTCCAGCCTCCCCCTTTCTCTTTTCCTCCCTGTTTCCCAGGCCAGTGCCTTCTTATCTCTGGGCCTGTGCCAAGGCTGGCACGGCCAGGCAGGCCCTTCTTAAATCCAATCCTTCCAGACCCTCTCTCCCAGCAGGCTCCAGGCTGCCTCCAGGCTTGCTGGTGACTCCCGGGGATACAGTGCTATTTCATAATTAGGTTCAAGGTCAGATTCTACCCCAAGTGCAGGCTCTGCATCTTTGAACCCTTCTTGAGTCCAGCTCAGGGCCAGGCACATAGTAGGTGATGGATAGATAGGGGTGGGGGGAGGAAGAAGGTTGTGCTTGGCCTCACAAAGACAGATGTGGAAGAGTGAGGTTCAGGATGCACACAGAGCAGGGACCCCAGCCCTAGGGTGGTGGCTATCCGGCAGGGTGCACCCTCTCAGAGTGGTCACAGGCTGTCAGGCTGGGGCTTTATGAGAATCCAACAGGCCCTTCTGTGGGGGAGAAGCCGGCGGGGCAGAGCCAAGGCCAGCAGCCTCCGGCCTGGCACCCAGCCCAGTCTTTCTTTAGCCCTAGTGAACAGCACGAGCTAGCGGCTGAATCTTCACTTCCTGGGGAGCCCCGGGTGGGGCAGGGCTTTGAGGCAATGGGTCCTGGCCCTCTGCAGAGGCCCACAGCGGGACCACGCCCTGGCCCTGCCAGGCGCAGCATCTCCTGCCCCAGTGCAGATTCCCTGAAGAGCTGGGGGACTCCCCTCAAGCTATCTTCTCTGGGGCCCCCCAGGGCTCTGCCTCCTGGCCCCAGGCCTTCCCTCCTCCCCTAACTCTTGGGCCTAGCTCATCCTTAAAGTATTTTCCATTCGCTTCCCCCAGTCTCTGCCACAGCACCGGTTTTTTTTTTTTTTTTGGTGGGGGGGGGTAATAAAGGAGGGGAACAGAAGGTGGAGCGTGGGTCCTGGGGGAGTAACCACCCTAGGAGGGCTCAGGGCTCTGGTTGGTCACCTCTGCTCCAGACCCCGCCCCTATCCCTATCCTCACTTGCGATTGGCTCGGCTCCCAGGGGGCGGGGCTCACCGGTCCGGTCCAGTTAAAAGGGTGGGAGCGGCCGCGGGCCCACCTCGGTGGAGTCTCCGGACAGCTGGTGCCGCACCGCCCGTGAGCATCTTGGCCTCAGTCATGGCTTGTGTGAGTGTGGGGACCCCCACTTGAAGGTCTAGGGGTCCGAACAGTGAGGTCAGAAGGGGTCGGAGGGACAGTTCAGGAACGGGTTGCCGGGCCCAGCTGTGTGGCTGGGGACACGTGCCTTCTCTCTTCCCATCTGTAAAGTGGGGACTGAGCTTTCTCTGGCTGAAGAATTTTCTGGATTCCTTCAAGGTCTGACAGCAGAGTTGTTTCTGCCAAGGTCCGACTTTCTGAAATTCTGCGGCTCTTGAGAAGAGACCGTGGGAAGGGTGTGGCCCTGGGGGACACCCTTCGGCCCTAGCCACTGTCCCTCCCCTCCCCTGGACATTCTGGAGAGCCTCCTCTCCCCTCCCCCCTGCAGCTGTCTCCAGTCACCGGGCCAGGGCCGTGTCACCCTCTGCTCCAGAGAGCTCTGAAAGTTGCCTGGACGTGGTCAGGTTGCCTGGAGGCTGCCTGGGTTAAAGGGTAGAGGGCAGTTTGTTTGGTGGAGGCTGAGAGAATACCCCAAGGCTCAGCTGGAGGTGGGAGGGAGACTGGTAAGGGAGATAGAGGAAGTAACAATCTTCCACGGCCCCCCTTCCTTCCTCCCCTAGGAAAGGGTTCAAGTTTCTGGCAGAAGGAACCAATCACACCAGTTAACTCCTACCCAGCCATCCCCGTAGGATCCCATGGCTGGCAGAGTCCAGCAGTATGCTGGGTGCTGCTCTGTCCAGCCACCTTGTCTGCAACCCTGACCTCTGGCTGCTCTCTCTTCTGCAGAGTGGCCTGGCCAGGTTCCTTCCGGTGTCCAGCTGTTGGGCCTCTGTAGAAGAGGCTTGGAGGGCCTGGGACCCTGACCCTGCAGTCCCAGGAGGCTTGCTCTGCCCTGGAGTGGCAGAGCCCTCTCCTCCTCTATCAGGACCCATTCCCAGCCTGATCCTCTCCATCCTCTCCATCTGCTAAAAGAGGCAACAGGGCGTGGCACCCCAGGCCTCTACATCTGGGGCCCCAAGCCCATGGCGAAACTCCAGCGGTGCTTAACCCTGGACCACATAAAGAATCAGAGGCCCAGGATGGGAAGGACCCCCATTCCCACCCCTACTCACCCCAGAGCCCTGCCGACAGCCGAGGCCAGGCCTTCCTCACCCAGCTGGGCGGGTTTTGTCTTGCAGGGTCTGGTCGCCAGCAACCTGAATCTCAAACCTGGAGAGTGCCTCCGCGTGCGGGGCGAGGTGGCCCCAGATGCCAAGAGGTGAGGGGTCCAGGCAGGGTGTGCCTGGGGGCCAGGGGCGGGGCTCAGAGGCCAAGGGTCCCAACTGGGCCGCTAGGCTGGGCGTGGCCGGCCTGAGCCCACTGCTCCCGAGCCCTGAGGGGGTTAATGCCAGCTGCAGAGGCTGCATTTTCTGGGAGGGTGAGTCACTTCCTCCCTGGGTCTGGACGCCCCCGCCATTGTCATCCCCCTGCCCTACTGAGCCTCTTAAACTAAACCAGCTGCAGCCCCCGTGGGCTGCCTTGGCTTCCCCCTCCTCTCCTGGGTGGGGCCTGCTCCTGTAAGAGCGGGAAAGAGCATGCCAGCCACGGCTCTCCTAGGAGCCCTCCTCCTGAACTGCACCCTCAGTCTTTTATCATTCATTCAACCAGCTGGCACGTTCTCTAGCTGCAGTGTGACCTTGGCCAGGTTGCCCGACAGCACAGAGCCTCCGTTCCTTAATCAATAAAGCAAAAGGGAAGCCGCAAGGCAGAGGATGGTGGCAATGCCAGGCCAGCAGCTCATTAAGAGCTGCCCTCCCTCTCCCAAACCTTCTGAGTTTGGTATTGCTATTATTAACAATGATTAGGCTCTGTGCCAGTGGCTCATGTCTGTAATCCTGACTACTCAGGAGGCTGAGATTTGAGGATCTTAGTTCCAAGCTAAACCTAGGAGACTCATGTCCAACTAGCCACCAAAAATCTGGATATAGAGCTTTGGCTCAAGTGGTAGAGTGGCCTTGAGTGAAAAAGCTAAGCAAGGCCCTGAGTTCAGGCCCCAGCACACGTGTGCACGCGCTCACACACATTTTTAGCTCTATTATTCACTCATTGGACAATAATTGAACATCTACTGTGTGTCCTACTCAAACTGGCCACCAGGGGTTCCCAGATAGATAGTGAGGCAGACAAAATACTCCCCCTATCCCCCTCCTGGGAATCCTGGTTGACCAATGGGGGCTTGGATACAAAGTAACGTCTTAGAGACTAGGCTGTCGTCAGCACAGCAAGACCCTGCCATGTAGCTGAGGAACTCGAGGCCCAGGGAGGGGCAAGGGTTATCTCGAGGCCACACAGCAAGGTGACAGCCCAGAACTAAGAATCCTGGTTTCTGGTCTCCTTTTGGCCTGATCCCAGCGAGCTGCATTACCGGTGTTCTGCGTGGCAGCCTGGGGCGCTCGTGGAGGGGAGTGGGGTACAGCCCATCTATGTGGTCCCAAGCGCACCTGTCACTCCCCTAGCTTTGTGCTGAACCTGGGCAAAGACAGCAACAACCTCTGCCTGCACTTCAACCCTCGCTTCAACGCCCACGGGGACGCCAACACCATCGTGTGCAACAGCAAGGACGGCGGGGCCTGGGGGGCCGAGCAAAGAGAGCCCGCCTTCCCCTTCCAACCCGGGAGCACAGTGGAGGTGGGCGGGGCTTGGGTGATGGGCGGGGCTTGGAAACCAGCAGCCGGAACCCAGCGGGGTGGGCGGGGCCTGGGGGGCCGAGCAACGAGAGCCCGCCTTCCCCTTCCAACCCGGGAGCACAGTGGAGGTAGGCGGGGCTTGGGTGATGGGCGGGGCTTGGAAACCAGCAGCCGGAACCCAGCGGGGTGGGCGGGGCTTGATGCCAAGCAACCGGAGCCCGCCTCCTCTTCCAGCTCGAGTACAGCGGGGGGGGGGGGGTAGGCGGGGCTTGGGGCCCAGCACCCGGGATGGGCGGGGCCTGGGGCCAAGCAACGAGAGCCCGCCTTCCCAGGCCCGCCGAGAACTCAGCGGGAGGGGGGGAGGGCGGAGCAGAACAAGCCTTAAAGGGCCAGAGTCCTAGGCCCCACCCCACCATTCTTTTGCACCTGGCTCATGTGGTCCCGGGGAGCATCAGTCCCTCTGGCCAGCGGGATAAACCGATCTTTGTGGGGATCAACAGAGTTCGGGAGGGCCCAGCTCAGCGTCTCTCTCCACCCTTCAGGTGTGCATCTCCTTCGACCAGACTGACCTGACCATCAAGCTGCCAGATGGACATGAATTCAAATTCCCCAACCGGCTCAACATGGAGGCCATCAACTACATGGCAGCCGATGGTGACTTCAAGATCAAGTGTGTGGCCTTTGAGTGACACCACGCGGCCCCTGGCCCCTAATAAAGGCAGCTGCCTCTACTCCTGAACCAGCGTCCTCTGTGTGTGTGTGTGTGTCTCGCACATGCAGGAGGACAGGAGGGGCCCAGGACAGGAGGGGCCCACACACAGGTCTGGCCCTTCCCTTCCTTCCATTCATCCCTCCCCCAACCCCCCCCCTTGTCTTCTGGGTAAGAATGAGTGCCTGGATACAGGGAAGACCAGGAAGGTGGAGGGGAGGACAAGCTGGCCTCTCATTTGCCTGAAGAAGAGCTGGCTAGGTCTGGGGTTAGCCTGAATCGGGGACACAGCTCTGCCATCCCAGCTACTCAGGAGGCTGAGGCCGGACAGCTTGAGCCCAGGAGTTTAGGGCCAACCAGGGCAATACAGCAAGACCTCCCCTCAGGAGAAAAAAAAAAAAATCTGTAGTCAAATGAGGAGCTGCAGCTGTGTGGCCTTGGGCTCATTAACTGACCTCTCTGAACCCCACCTCAGTTTCTTTTCTGTTTTTCCTTTCCTTCCGTATCAGAGATTGAACTGAGTCTCATAATTACTAGGCAAGTGCTCTACCATCTGAGTCACATTCCCAGCAGCTCTTTGGGTTTCAGTGTGTTTTCCAGATAGGGTGTCGTGCTAACATTGGCTAGGTTGGGCTTGGATGAAGATCCTCCTCCGTCCTCTGCCTCCTGATAGCCAGGATTACAGAATGAACCACTACACCTGGCAACCCTGTTTATTCATTAATAATGGTTAGAAGACACATAATCCACCCAAAGCTTGTTGTAGAGATTAAATCAGATGGTCCATGAACATCTGGGGCCACTGGCTTCCCATCCTTCCTGTACTGCATTTGGGGATGTCCTTACTGAAGTCTGAAGTGAGGGAGATGGTGCTCTATTGAGGGAACTAGGCTGGAAGCTTTGGACTCTGGCTGTGAACAGGTTCTCCACCCCAACAATGGAAATGCAGGCCTGAGTGATGTCTCTGGCACCCAATTGCTCCCGCATCTGTGGTAGGAGGAGCTGAGGGGGGATGACTACTTGGGCTCCTGGGATCCAAAGTACACAGAGGACCTAAAGGGAGAGGCTGGCCAGCTTAAGTCCCAGTCTTGATGCTCCCAGAGTCCCCTCTTCCTGGAGAACAGACACAGGCACTGAGGCTGAGATGGGCCTCTGGGACTCCCTGATCCCTGGCTTCATTTCCCTCAGGACCCGGACAGGCTCTGCTCCTTGGAGGCCAGTGCCCAGCCCTGCCCCTCACCCCTCAAACATGCTGGCCAAACGCATAGGCAGAAGATGGGGTAGCCTGTTGGCTGCTGGCTCTCCCCCTTTCCCTGTCCCCCAGTTAGGGTCAGATTTTCCAGAGCCCCTGATGCCTCCGTGGCTGGCCATCAGCTGTAGGAAGTGAGTCCTTCCTGGAGACCTCAAATCAGAACATCACTGGGCCCCTCAAAAACTCCAGGGCACAGTCTCCAGAGGCTAGAAAAGGGGGGATGGGGAGGACATGGGAGAGGATCTCTCTACCTCTAGCCTCAGTTCTCATCCATAAAGTGGGAGTCGTTTTAGATGGCTGACCCCCTGGGGTCCCAATTCTATGAAAGGAGGATGGAGCACACAGCCAGGTCTGGAGCTCCCATGTGTCACACCTAATCTCCAGGTGGTTCTGGGGCTCCCAAATGACCACCCAGGGAGAACGCTTAGAAAGTCTGGCTGTGGAAGATCGCCCTCTGCTGGACATCAGAGAAACTGTTCCTCGCCTTCACACACCATTGTACAGACAGCAGGGACTCCAAGCCCCAGCTCCATTGCCCAGTGATGTTAGACAACATCTCTGAACCTCAGTTTCCTCAATTATCAAATTGAGTAAACCAGTTACTGCTGGTATGTAAGGTAGTGATAATCAGCCAAGATATGGGTAGAAACAAACACTCCCTAGCCAGGCACTAGTAGCTCATGCCTGTAATCCTAGCAACTGAGAAAATTGTGATCAGGTCCAAAGTCAGCCTGAGAAAAAAAAAAGTGTAAGACTTCATCACCAATTAATCAGCAAAATGCTGGGCTGAAGGCATTGCTCAAGTGGTAGAACACCAGCCATGAGAAAGCCAGGTGAAACTGGGAATATGGCTTAGTGGTAGAGGGCTTGCCCAGCATGCATGAAGCCCTGGGTTTGATTTCTCAGTACCACATACACAGAAAAAACTGGAAGTGGTGCTATGGCTAAAGTGGTAGAGTGCTAGCCTTGAGGAAAAGAAGCTCAGGGACAGTGCCCAGGCCCTGGCAAAAAAAAAGCCAGATGAGAGTATGAAGCCCTGAGTTCAAAGCTCCAGTATTGGCACAAAAAGAGCATAGTCATTAGCATACGGTAAGGGCTCCATGAATGCTGATTCCCTTCACCCAGATTAAGGCTTAGTGTGTTTTACAACCCTAGTAGAGAAATGCCACTCAGCCCTGCTCTTCTTGACTGTGTGACCTCAGACAAGTAGCTGCACCTCTCTGGGCCTGTTTCCCCTGCAGTGAAATGGGGTTATACTTCAAGTGAGAGAAGCAAGCAAAGAACCAAATACAGGGCAGGTTTTGTTGTGATTCTCCTCATTGTCTTCATGATCGTTGATTGATGCCATCCCTTATGGTGCCTGTGCACAAGGCATGCCCAGTAAATGCAAGAACAATTGAAGCACAAATTCAGCCAGTAAAAGTAGTGTCTGGTCCATTGTCTTTTGTCCTGGGGTGAGGAGGATCTGAGACTCCCTAAGAAGGATTTAGAGCATAGTGCTGAACCAAGGTGGCCAACTTCAGTCTTCATTGGGACCTTTCATGGATGGGTCTCCCCAGTCCCGTAGGATCCGCAGCTGGAGCAGAGGAGGACAGTACTGTCTTGGGGATGTAGTGCAGCTGTCAGGGCAGTGGTTCTGGTCCTACGAGGTTCTACTACGGATTGAGTGGCTCTAGTCAAGTCACACCCCTGTGAGCCTCTGGACCTGTGAAACAAGGATGAGGCAGGGCGGGCCTAAAATCCCTTTTGGGTATTGTTTCACTGAATGCCTTTGCATCTCAGCTTTATTTTCAGGAAAAGCGTGTGTTACATCTTTAGGGAAACTGAGTCGCTCAGCAGCACTGCATAATTATTATTTTTTAAGTCGTGCACACTTCAAGTAACTCCCTTCTCCAAGGTCAAGGTTCTCAAAGTTTGTTTATCTCCTGAGAAGTTGCTAGAAATGGGACAAGGCCCTGCCCAAGTCTGCTGAATCAGAAGCTCTGGGGTGGGGCCTGCCTGAGACTTTCAGCAATCCCTCTAGAATAACCAGTGTCCTCTACTCACCACAATTATCCCTACTTTAAAAACAGGGTAGAGGACTGGGAAGGTGGCTCAGTGGTAGAGCGCTTGCCTTGCATGCATGAGGCCCTGGGTTCGATTCCTCAGCACCACATAAGCAGAAAAAGCCGGAAGTGGTGCTGTGGCTCAGGTGATAGGGCGCTGGCCTTGATCTGAAGAGCTGAGAGACTGCTCAGGCCTACAGTTCAGGCCCCACAACCGACAAAAAATAAACAAACAAACAAAAAAACCAGGGTAGAAAAGCCAGGCGCCGTGGCTCACACCTGTACAAATCCTTGCTCTCAGGAGGCTGAGATCTGAGGATCGTGGTTCAAAGTTCAGACCAAACAGGAAAGTCCTTGAGACTCCAGTTAACCACCAGAAAGTGGCGCTGTGGCTCAAAGTAGTCGAGTGTTAGGACAGCGCCCAGGCCCTGAGTTCAAGACCCATGAGAGACAAAAACAAGGGGGTGGGGAAGAAGGCAACTGGTCCAGCACCACGTAGCTGCGGGTGGAGCTCGAGCCTTATTAACTCAGGAAGAGCAGCTCTGCACTTGGGCGCCTCTTTATCATTGAATCGATTTGGGAAGAGGGCAGAGGTGCGAGTGGCTCCGCAGACGAAACCCACAGCGGTACACTTGTGGGGATAAGAAACAGGCCTGGCGGCCCCTTTAAAAGGCGGAGCCTAGCAGGCGGAACCACAGAGCGACGGTGCGTGAAGCGCTCGGAAGGCCACGAACGCAGCACCGGAAGTCTCTCAGGAGAGGGGAAGCCGCGCCGCCAGAAGCCTCGCCAGTATGGGCCGCAACAAAAAGAAGAAGCGAGATAGCAGCGACCGGCGGCCCCGACTCGTGCTCAGCTTTGATGAAGAAAAACGGCGGTGAGTGGCGAGAGCAGACGCTGCTCCCCTCGGGCTGCTTGCGAAGCCCGGGCTAGGTTTGCGCGCGCGCTCCCGCCGAGGGCCTTCCGGCCCCGCCCCTGGGCGTGGCCAGCGCTCCGAGCCCCACCTTTCAGCTTCCGGAGAGCCTTGGCCCGGGCCAACCTACTCCGGATTGGTCCTGCACAGTAGGCGCCCAGCCCGGGCCGAGGGCTGACACAAGTAGTGTGGGGGCTGGGAAGGTGGCTCAGTGGTAGAGCGCTTGCCTAGCACGCGTGAAGCCCCGGGTTCGAGTCCTCAGCACCACATGCACGAAAAAGCCAGACGTGGTGCTGGGCTCAAGTGGTAGAGTGCAACCATGAGTCAAAGAAGCTCGGGCGCCGGTAGCTCACGCCTGTAATCCCAGCTACTCAGGAGGCTGAGATCTGAGGATCGAGGTCCAATGCCAGCCCGAGCAAGAAAGTCTGTGAGACTCTTATCTCCAGTAAACCACTAGAAAACGGAGTGGTGCTGTGGCTCAAACAGTAGAGCGCTCACCTTGAGCTGAAGAGCTGAGGGACAGCGCCCATGCCAGAGTTCAAGCCCCACGACCGACCCAAAAAAAGAAAAGCAGCAGCAGGTCAGGGACAGTGCCCAGGCCCAGAGTTCAGACCCCAGGACTGACAAAAAAAAGCTAGATCTGGAGGCGTGGTTCAGTGTTAGAGTTCCAAAAAAACAAGCTAGAGTGCAAGGCCTACCAGTACAGGAGAAACAAGACCAAAGAAACAACAAAAAAAGTAGCACAGCAGCAGGGCTGAGAGTGCCGAGTGCACCAAAGCGGCCCCTCCTTCGTTTTCCTGAACTTTTACTGCCATGCGTTAGAAATGACTACCGTGTGTGTGTGTGTGTGTGTGTGCGCGCGCGTGTGTGCGTGCAGTAGGCTGTATCCTCTAGGCTATGTCTGCGCATGCTCATGTTCTGGCACGGTCAGTCACCTGACAACTCGGTTCTCACAGTCTCTGTCATCCAATGATGCTCAGCTGTACTCTGTGCCCTTTGGCGAACATTCTCACCTCTGTGCCTTGGTGTCTCTGTCTGTAAAATGGGGTACCACACAGCTTGGGAGGGTTCGGCAAGTTGACAGGATCTGGCTCATAGTGAGTGCAGCGTTGGTGGTTTTCTCATTGTAGAACAAGGTCTTTTTGCTGGATGCTAAGGGTTAGAAACTACCTTTGAATGAAAAAGCGTAAGGAACAGCACCCAGGCCCCAAGTTCAAACTCCAGTACTGGTGCACGTGTGCGTGCGCACGCGCGCGCACACACACACACAATACCATGTCCTCCTTTCCTTGTTCCCTCCCCCAACTCTCTGGGCTCTCTCTGGCTTTCTTCCTTTCTACAGGGAATTCCTGACTGGCTTCCACAAGCGGAAAGTGGAGCGTAAGAAGGCAGCCATTGAGGAAATAAAGCAGCGGCTGAAGCAGGAGCAGAAGAAGCTGCGCGAGGAGGTGTGTGTGTGTGTGTGTGTGTGTGTGTGGAGGTGTGTGTGTGTGTGCGCTTGAGGCTTGGGGTGTGTGTGTGTGTGTGAAGAAGCTGCGCGAGGAGGTGTGTGTGTGTGTGTGTGTGTGTGTGTGTGTGTGCGTGTGTGCGCGCGCGCTCGCGCTTGAGGCTTGGATGGCCCTGGAGGGGGCACTAATAGGGGTGTGGGGATGAGGCTGAGAGGTGCTTTGTCCGGGTAGAGTCGCTGAGTCTGGGGAGGGGGGAGGAGGGAGGCCGCATTGCTCTCTGAGCTGCAGTCGCCCATGCCCCTGCAAGGGCTGATGCCCTGTCTGACTCACTGTGGCTTCTCCCCATTTGGCTCCAGCGCCACCAGGAATACTTGAAGATGCTGGCCGAGAGAGAGGAGGCGCTGGGTAAGCCCCTCCTTGGCCTGGGTTTCTATGTCCCTGGGTGGGTGGGAGGGTAGAGGGGTGAGGCCGCCTCCTTCACTGTAGGGCTTTGGGTGGTGATCTGTGGCCAGGAGCCAGAAGGAGACCCGCACCTCATAGGCAACTGAGTATAAGGACCGCGGGCAGCACAGCATCAGCTCCAGGTGTCACTTGGCTTTGTGTGAAGTGGAAACGGGCTGGGGCACAAGAGGCCAAGTGGTTCATTTGCCCCATCGCCTGCAGGCTGGGCTGGGGGCCAGTGCTTTGTGGGTGCAGGGGGGCCATTACAGTCCAGGGCCGGGAGCAAAGCTGGAGCCTAGGGGCTGCTTGTGGGGCTGAGACCTGGTCTGTGTCCACCCTGCAGAGGAGGCCGATGAGCTGGAGCGGCTGGTAACAGCTAAGACAGAGTCGGTGCAGTACGACCACCCCAACCACACAGTGACCGTCACCACCATCAGTGACCTGGACCTCTCTGGGGCCCGGCTACTTGGACTGCCCCTTCCTGAGGTGAGTCCCCATCACAACCCTGGGGAGAAAGGACACTGGACAGACTGGCTTTCAGTGCTGGTCCATGTCACAGTTTGCCAGGCAAGAGGTTCTTTCCTTTCTGCATCCTTGAGCTCTGAGACAGCTTGGCAGCTCCTTGCTGCGGATGAGTGGCTAAGGCCCTGAAATGGGTACCCGGCCTAGCCCTAGTCAGTGCTCTCTCTAGAATGCCCTTTTTTTGGGGGGTGGGGGAGATAAGGGGCATTCCTGTGGCTTGAACTCAGGGCCTGGGCACTGGTCCTGAGTTTCTTTTGCTCAAGGCTAGCACCCTACCACTTGGGCCGTAGCACCATTTCTGGCTTTTTCTGTTTATGTGGTACTGAGGAATCAAACTCAGGGCTTCATGCATGCCAGGCAGCCACTCTCCATTCCTAGCTCCTGTATTACTCTTGACTGTCGCTGTCCCCTGACATGGTGAGCTGCAAGAACCCTCCCTTTCTGTACACTGATGGCAGTGTACAGTCTATGGCTTATGAGTCATTGGCATAAGAGAATATAGTTGAAAATAGCATCCAGCAAGTACTTCATGCAGGTATTCAAGCAGATAGAGTGTGACTGTGTGGTTTCTGTAAGAATTTATATATACAGGGGCTGGGAAGGTGGCTCAGTGGTAAAGCGCTTGCCTTGCATGCCTGAGGCCCTGGGTTCGATTCCCCAGCACCACATAAGCAAAAAGAAAAAAGCCAGAAGTGGCGCTGTGGCTCAAGTGGAAGAGCGTAGCCTTGAGCTGAAGAGCTGAGGGACAGCGCCCAGGCCCAGAGTTCAGGCCCCACGACCGGACCCAAAAAAAAAAAAATTAAATATACATACATTCTTGTCCACAGGGGCGGATTTCAGGATGTGCACTCAGCCCTTTTTATATAAGGGACTTTAAATCATTTTTAGGTTACTCATAAAAGCTGGTACATGGGCTGGGAATGTGGCTTGGTAGTAGAGTGCTTGCCTAGCATGCATAAAGGCCTGGGTTCGATTCCTCAGAAAAGGCTGGAAAAGGCACTATGGCTCAAGTGGTAGAGTGCTAGCCTTGAACAAAAAAGGGACGGTGCCCAGGCCCTGAGTTCAAGCCCCAGGACTGGCAAAAAAAAAAAAGCTGATATAGTGTAAATGCTATGAACATAATTGTTACACTGGATCTTTGAGAGACTAATCACAAGAAAAGACTTCTGCATGGTCAGTTCAGACAGACAGTTTCTCTCAATATTTTTACTTTGTGCAGTTGCTTGAGTGATTGCACGGGGAGGGCAGGCACATTCATGAAGTTATAGTATTAAATACATTAATTTAGGGCCTGGAGGCTGAAGCAGGAGGACAGAGAGTTCAAGGCCAATCTGGCTACAAAGAGAGACCTTGTTCCCAGAAAATATCCTCCTATGGAGCACAGTGTCCTGAGGGGTTTTTTTGTTTTGTTTTATATGTTTGTTTTGTCGTCTTAGAGCTTGAACTCTGGCCTGGGCGCTGTCCCTGAGTTTATCAGCTCAAGGAGAGTGCTCCATTATTTGAGCCACCATGCCACTTCCTGTTTTTTGGTGGTTCATTAGAGATAAGAGTCTCATGGATTTTCCTATCTAGGCTGGCTTTGAACCTCTATCCTGAGATCTCAGCCTCCTGAGTAGCTAGGATGACAGGCATGAGCCGCCCGCGCCTGGCTTTCCTGTGTCCTTTTGACATCTATCCTGACCTCATCCTCGCTTTCTACTGTATGTTCTTCCTTCTGCAAGGTCTGATAAAAGACAAGTCCAATTGCTTTTGTTTTGTAACAATATCTTGCTATGTGCAGTGCACTGGTGGCTCACACCTATAATCCTAGCTACTCCGGAGGCTGAGATCTGAGGATTGCGGTTCAAAGCCAGCCTGGGCAGGAAAGTCTGTGAGACTCTCATCTCCAATAAACCACTCAGAAAACCAGAAGTGGCACTGTGGCTCAAGTGGTAGATTGCTAGGCTTGAGCGGAAGAGCTGAGGAACAGTGCCCAGGCCCAGAGTTCAAGCCCCACAACTGATTAAAAAAAAAAAAAGATCTTGCTATGTATCCCAGGCTAGTTTCAAGTTCTCTGCTTCCTGAGAGGCAGAGGTCTCCCAAGGGCCGGGGTTATAGGCATGGCCATTTTGCTGAGTGGGGTGTGTGTGCATGCACATGTGCCAGTCCCAGGGCTTGAACTCAGGGCCTGGGTGCTATCCCTGAACTTTTTTGCTCAAGAATAGCAAGCTGCTACTTAAGTCACAGCTCCAGTTCTGGCATTTTTGGTAGTTAATTGGAGATAGGAGTCTCATAGGCTTACCGGCCTCGGATGGCATTGAACTGCCATCCTCAGATCTATTTATTTTATCAAACTAATTACTTTCTTGAAACTTAATAATATAAAAGTGTTATTAAAGTCTTATACAGAAAGACATTACTAGAGAGGCATCACCATCATATTTTAATTCAAATTATTTCTAACTTCACTTATCCACAATGTTGAGAAAAATGGGAATTCCTACCATGAAAGTTTATCCTCTAAGAGCCCATTCACAATGATCTCGGTCTCTTAAACAACCAAGGTTACAGGTGTGAACTGCTGGTGCTTGGCTGATTTTCCTGCTTGTGAGTGTGAGTGTCTGCTGTCCAGTGCTAGTGGACGCCTGTGGTGTTCTGAAGCTGGGCTTCAGACACCGAGCCCCACCCAGGTCTTGGAGATGGCAGGCCATGCCCCCGTCTGCTCTTAGTAACGGTACTTGTCCTGTGCTTCTCTAGCAAGGGGCCGGAGCTGGGTCTGAGGAGGCGCCATCCATGGAGAAGTCAACTAGAGCCTTACCCAGGAAATCCAAAGACCCCCTGCTGTCTCAGCGGTGAGCCTGCCCTGCATCTCCCCGAGTCCCACTTGGCCTGGCTGGCCCTCGGGGTGGTGTGGGCAGGATAGGCCAGCAGGCTCTCGGGAGTCAGACCAGGCTGACTTTGATGCTCCTGGTGTTGGAGAATCATCCCGATGTCCCCTCTGTGAGTGGACCCCCAAGAGGTAAACTGAGGCCTGGTCTTACTATTCTGGCTCTCCCACAGAATCTCCTCCCTCACGGCCTCACTGCATGCACACAGCCAGAAGAAGGTCAAGAGGAAAGCCCCTCGCCGGGCCCAGGGCTCCAGCGTGAAGCCGCCCAGTGCCTCTCGTACCAGCAAGACCCAGCGCCGCCGAATGACAGGCCGAGCCCGGCACAGCGGGGAGTGAGCCCCAACGGCACCTCAGCTGGGCGCCCCTGAAGGCCAGCTCCACATGGGACGACCCAGCCTGAGCGTGGGCGGCCAGGCCCTGTCCAGCCGGCGCCACCGTGCCTGAGGACTGCCCGACTGCCTCCCAGCCACTGGGGTTCGGGTGTTTGCCCCGTGAACAGCTGTTTCCACCTTCCAAAGGAAGATCATCTTAAGGGCTGGGAAGGGGCTCAGTGGTAGAGCGCTTGCCTTGCATGCATGAGGCCCTGGGTTCCATTCCTCAGCACCACATATGCAGAAAAAGCTGGAAGTGGCTCAGTGGTAGAGCGCTCGCCTTGAGCTGAAGAGCTGAGGGACAGCGCCCAGGCCCAGGGTTCAGGCCCCGTGACAAAAAAGAAAAAAGAAAAGAAGTTCATCTTACATGAGTATACCCTTATTTGATCTGGTCGCCTGAGGCTCGCTGTTGTCCATAAGGGCTCTTGCTTCAGGTTCCTTCCAGAGTGTTCTTCAGCTGTGGTTTCCTGGTGTGAGAGCTAGGGGCAGGAGTTCAGGACGCTGGGGTTGTGGCTGCTCAGGGGCGCTGTGTGGGGCCGCAGACCTGGTCTGTGAAGAGCTAAGCTGTGTGCTGGGGTCCCAGCGAAGATCTCGGGCTAGTATGAGAGATGGTCAGGACCCAGGGTGTGCGTGGCTGTGTGGGGTCTGCCCAGGAGTGGCTGCAGGGTCTTCCTGCCCCGGGATGGACGGGAGCCTGGAGGACAGGGAAGAGCCCAGAGTGCAGGGCAGGCCTCCCCGCCCTCGGAAGGGGGGCTGACGCAGGCTGCCCGGGGAGGGCAGGTTCCCCTTCCTCGCCTGAGGATCCGCCATCTGGATTCAGGCCACGTGGGCAGGGAAGGCGCACGCGTGGCTTGTGGCTGGAAGGGGCGGGACGGGGCAGGGCTGGGGGGGGGGACCCTTGGCTGGCTTCTGCCCTCCTTGCACGCAGGTTGGGATGATTTGTTCTGCTTCGCCGCACCAGGGACGCCTGTCCTGCCTCTCCAGGCGCTGCTCATCCCCAGCCTCACCCTGGGGACCTCCGTGGGCAGGCTGCCAGCCCTGAGGAGAGCCCTGGCCACGTGGAGACCTGCCTGCCAGGGCTGAGGAGAGCCCTGGCCACGTGGAGGCCTGCCTGAGGAGAGCCCTGGCCACGTGGAGGCCTGCCTGCCAGGGCTGGCTGCCGCCGAGTGGCCATGACAAGTGGTGTTCCAGGCGGGACGTCCGTGTCCAGTCCCTTCTCCAGGGTCAGCTCCTTACAACCCACCCTTTGTGCACCACCAGCCTGTCAGTCAGCCAGGGAAGTTGAGTCACAGGGTAGGAAAGATCTGTAGAGGGGGAGATGGAGCCAGAACCGTGGAAGGAACTTGTCTCCATGCTCCATAGATTGACGGCTCCTTCCTGCTCTCCATCCTGGGGCCCAGAGCTGACCTTCTAAGGCCCTCGTGAGGAAGAGTGAGCATACAGGCAGCAGAGGGCCACAAAGATGGGAGGTTACCAACCTGGAACCGGGAAGGCTGGAGGGCTGAGATGGCAGGCTTCGGTCTTACTTTTGTGCCATTAACACATGGCTTCTACTGCGTGATAGAGGGGAGTTGTTTCCTCCTCAAACATCAAATAGTTGAATCTGGGCACTGGTGGCTCACTCCTGTCATCCTAGCTACTCAGGAGGCTGAGATCTGAGGATCACGGTTCAAAGGCAGCCTGGGCAGGAAAGTCCGTGAGATTATTTATTTCCATTTATCCACCAGAAAACCAGAAGTGGCACTGTGGTTCAAGTGGTAGAGTGCTCGCCTTGAGCTGAAGAGCTGAGGGATAGTGCCCAGGCCCAGAGTTCAAACCCCACAAATGACCCCCCCACCCTCCCCAAAAAACAGTTGGACATCAGATAGTTGTAAGAGCATGTGCAGAGGTGAGTCCCCAGCCTCCTACCTAGATTGACTGAGCCGTGTGTGTGTGTGTGTGTGTGTGTGTGTGTGTGTGTAACTAAGCCACACCTCTAACCCACCACTTTTCTACTTGTCAAATAAGACTTCAGGAAATTTCTCACCTAATTTAAATTCTTTTCTGTGACAATGTCAAGGCCTCCAGGCATCGGTGCCTATGGCCACAAACAGCACCCTGTCCACAATCTTGTGACCCCTGGAATGAGAGGTCACACCGGGAACCTCCAGGGTTTCAAATGCTCCTGGTTCTGGCACAATCGGGGCCACGCAGGAGGCAGAGGAAGGAAGCTTCTCTCCTCCCGCCCATCACTTGCTACCGCTGGTCTGGAGTGTCGCTGGATGGGCACAGCGCCTCCGTGGGGTAGATTCCAGAAGATGATGCCCACGCCGTGGGTCCCACCCCAAGTAACCAGCTTACAGCTTGTACACAGGTGTTAAGCCCTCCAAATCGGTTCGGTGAGCCCAAAGCATTCAGGGCCAAGATTCAGCAAAAAGAAACAAAAAAAAACAGTGCTGGTGTGTGGTTCAGCTGTATTACTCTAGCCTACCAAGCTTGAGGTCCTCATTCAAACACCTGTACTGCCAAAAAATAAATAAGCAGTGCCATAAGCTAATAAGTAAGCAGTGCCATAAGCTAATAAGCTGCTATTTGACTGGCAACTATTTAAGCTTAGGGATTTCCTGGAAAGTTTCCGATTTCTGGCCACTTGGGAGCACTGCTTCTCAGTGTTCTTGGGCTGAAGTCAGACCTGCCAGCCCTGTTAGAGACCTGGCCATGCAGCCAGCCCTGCTCCATCTCCGGCAGGCCCTGAGCTCCACCTGGCCAGCCCCCCACAGCCTTCTCCCAAGGGCCACCAGGGTGCCCAGAGCCTGAGCCCTCTGAAGCATCCCATAGAGCTCTGGGAGCCTGGATTGCACACCAGGCTCTCCTGGAATCACGGGGTGGCTTTAGGCACCTTGCTTAAGCCTGAGTTCCCTGGATAAGATGGGCACGAACATGCCAGGTATGGAGGGGAAGGTGTCTACCTCCTGACACATTAGAGGAAAGCTGCTCCTCATACTCCCTCACGCCTCTCCACTCCGCAGCCCTTCCTCCTTCCAAGTATCTTTCCTTCCAGGTCAAGGGCTGCAGTTCACCACTGGCCATCAGCTAGGTTGAAGAGGGACTGCTGGGCATCTACAAAGCCACACACCTGCCCCATCTCCCCTCCCAATTTCCACCTCAGTTTCTTTCTGAGCCCTATACCTGCTAACCTCTGCTTCCCAGCCGGTGGACTCATTGCCTGCGGGTCTTTGCTCAAATGTCCCCAGTCGTCTCAGTAAAGCCCTCTCTGAACACCTTGTATGAGAAGCCATGTCCCCCTCCACTTGGCACATTCCCCTTCTCTGTTTGGCTTTCTCTTCAGCACCTGTCACCAGCTATCAGACTCTACTTGGCATAGCTACTGCCTGGGATCTGTTTTTCTTCCACAAAAGCAAGAGAATCAGTCTTTTGTTCACTGATGCACCTTAGCACACAGGACTGACAAAGGAACCCCATAAATAATTACTGGTAGCAAGCACCACCCTGAGCTGGCCCTAAGGTTTAACCAAATTGCCATGCTCTGTGCTCAAATGAAGCTCTTACTCCAACCCAGGCTCAGAAAAACTCTCTCTCTCTCTCTGCTGGTCGCTGCTCTGAGGTTTGAATTCAAGGCCTGGTCACTGTCCTTTAGTTTTTTTTCTCAAGGCTACTGCTCTACCACTTGAGCCATACCTTTGCTTCCTGACTTTTTTGGGGCTGATTAATTGGATATGAGAGTCTTATAGACTTTACTGTCCACACTTGACTTCAAACTGCAATCCTCAGCTCTCAGCTTCCTAAGTAGCTAGGATTACAGGTGTGAGCCACCATGCCCAGCATCAACTAACTTTCTCAAGTTCACCCAGTCCTTTAGTGGCAGGCATTGAACATAGGTCTTCACCCATCTTGCACCAGGAAGTTGTAGGAGCTGGTGGCTCATGTCTGTAATTCTAGCTACTCAGGAGGCTGTGATCTGAGGATCATGGTTTGAAGCCAGCCTCGGCAAGAAAATCCCTGACAGTCATATCTCCTATTATCCAGCAAAAAGCTAGAAGTGGAGATATCACTCAAATGATAGAGCACCAGCCTTGGAAAAAGCTCAGGGACAGTGTTCAGTCCCTGAGTTCAAGCCCCAGTAGGGTGAGGGAAGGAAGCTGTGGTTTAGCCAGTTCCATGCAGGTCCAGGATGACCCATCAAGGAGTTTTTCCCTCACCTTGGAAGGACGCATGTTTTTATTTAGATGTCCCCTCCTTCCCGCCCCGCACAGGCCTAGCATATCCCAGGCACAGATGAGTGAGTGAATAGGCAAATGAGGACTGTGGTGGAGTCAAGACCAGAGGTTTTGCCCTAGGACCCGGATTGAACCACGGATGGCTGCACGGGCTAAACGTGCGGCAAGTCCCGCGCTCCCAGGCAGCTGGGTCCCGCCCGCCTCCGCCACGCCCCCTGTCCTCAGCGGGTCCAATCACACGCGCGGCATGTAAATGAAGGTCTTCCAGCGAGCCAATAGGAGCGCGCCAGGGCGTCCCACCCACCTCTCAGGCAACGTTTTGATTCATTGTTAAAATAAAGAGGCCGTGACCCTGGCACTGGCACCACGGCCGCCTCGGTGCGTGGAAGCCCGAGCAGAGGTTGGTACAGAGCGAGTGGCTTAGGGGAGGCCGGAGGGAGGGTGGGGAGAGGGGTGGGGAGGAACTGGCTGGTTGGCTGGATGAAGAAGACCGGGCGGGGTGGGGGTGGGGGGTGGGGTCTCTGGGTGGGGCATGTGAATCCAATTAAGGCTTTTTCGATGTGGTCCTTATTCTAGCCACATCTGAAATGCATCTGAGAGAAGGCTTGAGCTAACGGTTTGGGGACGGGAACGGGAGCAGAACCCTCACAGCCCCCCGCCCAGAAAGATAAGCAACGGTCTCCTGCCAAGGCCATGATCCTTTATGTGGATCCCAGGTGTGTGTGGAGGCCGCTGACCAAACACCACCGGCAGGTGGATGACCAGAGGGCCACCCGGGGAGAGCTATGGCTGGGCAACTGGGAGCCTGTGCGCCTCTGGGCGCCCCTCCCCTCTTCAGGGTGGGAAGAGCTGGGGGACCTCAGTTCTCAGCTGAGACTGGGGGGACCAAGACCCCCTGGGAGCTGAGCAGACAATCCTTAGGTATGGGGTGACCCAGGGGAGCTGTTTGAGGATGTTGGGTGCCTCCCCTATCCCGTGTTCTCCTCCCCGGACTCCCTCCGGATGCTTTTCTTTCAAGCTGTGGATCTGGGAGCCCCGGGAGGGGGAGCCCTGGGCTCAGGTCAACATGGTGGGGGGGGGTTCTTTATGACTAAGCTGTGTCACAGACTCACCGTGTGATTCTAGACCTTGCCTTCAACTCTGAAAATACCTGAGCAGCCCCCTGCCTGACTCCCAAGGGACCTACAGGGGCCCCAGTGGGGTCCAGTGTCCCTCGCTTTCATCAGAGAGATCCTGAGCACCCCGCCCCACCCCCCACCAGGTCTGGGGCTTGAACCCAGCTCAGCCACTCAGATCTTGAGGGCCAGGAGACCTCTCCGTTTGAAACTGGCATTGAGCTACAGTAACCAAGTAGCTACAAGTTTTTAAATCTATAAACTAGTTATCATCTAGGGAACTCATTTGAATGGCGCACCCCAGGACTTACCCCTTAGGACTGAAGGGGGGAATCAGAAGAGGGAACTGAGAATCTGTTCTGTTTGTTGTGGTTTGCTTTGGTTTTGGTTTTTGTGTGTGCCACTACTGGGGCTTGAACTCAGGGCCCTGCCCTCCCGCTTGGCTCCTTCACTCGAGGCTGGTATTCTACCATTTGAGTTGCACTAATTGGAATCTCATCTGACTTTTCTGCTTGGGCTGGCTTCAGATTGCACCCCTCAGATCTCAGCTTCCCGAGTAGCTAGGATTACAATCATGAGCCACTGGCACTGCCTAGTTTGTGGTTTTTGTTTTTGTTTTGCTTATTTATTTCTGGCGCCTGTACTGGGGCTTGAACTCAGTAGCTGGGTACTTTCCCTGAGCTTTTCTTTTTTCCTTTTTTTTTTTTTTTCTATTTTTGGTCTAAGATAGGGACTTGAACTCAGTACCTGATGCTTTTGCTCATTGGCTAGCATTCTATCAACTAAGCCATTCCTCCAACCCCCTTTCCTCCCCTCCTCCCCTCCTTCCTTTCCTCCTCCCCTCCTTCCTTCCCTTCTCCCCTCCTTCTCCTCCTCCTCCTCTTCTTCTTCATCCTCCTCCTCCTTCCTTCTTTCTTCTCCTTGTCCTTCTATTCCTTCTCTTCTTCTTCTCCCTCCTCCTCTTCTTCCCCTCCTCTTTCTTTTCTCAAGGCCAGCACTAGCACTGTACCATTTTAGCCACAGCTCCACTTCTGGCTTTTGTGAAGTGTCATGGACTTTTCTGCCCAAGGTAGAACCATCATCCTGAGATCTCAGCCTCCTGAGTAGGATTACGGGCATGAGCCACCAGTGCCTGGCTGTTTGTTTTTAGAAAGATGAGTCTCACTGTATTGCCCAGATTGGCCTCAAGCCCTCACTCTGTATCCTCCTATCTCAGCCTCCTGAATAGCTGGGATTATAGGTATGGACCTTCAAGTCTGGTTGAATTTTTTTTTCCAGTGCTGGGAATGGAACGCAGGGCCTTGGCCTGCTAGACAAACTCTACCACTGAGCTATGTCTCCAGCCCTATACAATCTGTCTTTTTAGGAATATCTGAGGAGGGGTATAATTCAGGGTCTTGGAATACCATTCTGCACAACACGGCAGTAAGAACTAGAACTCACACACAAAAGAAGCTGCTTAGTGGGTGCTAGTGTTTGTGGAGTAGGTACATTGCCTAATATTCCTGAGTTCACTTGGCCTGCAGAAATTAGGGCTGGGGTCCCTGTAGGTGGCCTGCCAGCCCTTTAGTACCTTTCCCATTCTTCTAGAGAGTCAGATGAAGAGCTGCCCTGGCCTGGCTCACCCAACATGGAACAGGTGGCTGAGAACACCCCGGGTGAATACTTCGGGACCATCATGCCTGTGCAGAGCCTCTGTGAAGACTCCTTCCACCCTGAGGAGGCCCGTGGAGCAGGACACCAGGTGAGCTGGCTTTCCTGAGTGTTGGAAGGTTTCAGATGGGGCCTTGGTGGTGGGCAGGGCCTGGCTGGGCCCTGAACTTACAAACTCAGACGCTTGCTTTCTCCTGCCCTGTTCTTCAGTTTCCCTACTTACTTATTTATTTATTTTTGTCCGTTGTGGGGCTTGAACTCTGGGCCTGGGTGCTGTCCCTCAGCTCTTCAGCTCAAGGTGAGCACTCTTCCACTTGAGCCACAACACTACTTCTGGTTTTCTGGTGGTTTATTGGAGATAAGAGTCTCACAGATTTTTACTGCCCGGGCTGGCTTTGAACCGTGATCCTCAGATCTCAGCCTCCTGAGCAGCTAGGATTACAGGCATGAGCCACCGGTACCCTACTTTTAAAGTCATTAAGAGCCAAGCATCTGTGATACATGCTTGTAATTACAGCTCCTTGGAAGACTGAAGTCTGGAGACTTTGAGGCCAGCCCTGTAAAGTTTGCAAGACTCTACCTTCAAATAAGCAGCAAAAAGCAAATAATCATGACAATAATAATGTATTTTTAAAATTTCTCAGTGCTGGGCTTGAACTAGGGAGCCTCCTACAAGCTAGGCAAGTGCTCTACCACTTGAGTCATGCCTCCAGCCCTCAATTTTCCTGGCAATGAAATGGGTTGGTCAGACCATATTAATGTTTCTTAGTCTTCAGTCCCTTCCTTCTACTCTTATGATTCCCCCCCCCCACGCACACACCGCAAACTACAGCCTCCTCTAGCCTATTACTTTATTGGTCTTTAAACTGAAGCTCTTTAGTTTTGGGGAGGGATATTGGGGATTGAACTCTGAGTCTTACATGCTAAGCTTGAATTCTACCACTGAGCCATATTCTAGCCCCAATCCAGCATCTTCACTCATCCTGAGACAAAGCTATCCTCCCCACCCCAAAGAGAAAAATTAAGATTACGTCTCACTGGGCATTGGTGGCTCACTCCTGTAATCCTAGCTACTCAGGAAGCTGAGATCTGCAGGTGGAGGTGTGAAGCCAGCTTGGGCGAGAAAGTTGGTGAGACTCTTTCATTAGTAATAATCCAGACATGGAGGTGTGGCGCAAGTGGTAGAGTGCTAGCCTTGAGGGGAAAAAAAGCTAAGGGACTGCACCCAGGTCCTGAGGCCCCAGTACCAGCACTTTTTTTTTTTTTTTGGTCTGGTCATGGGGCCTGAACCCTGGGCCTGGGCACTGTCCCTCAGCTCTTCAGCTCAAGGCTAGTTCTCTACCACTTGAGCCACAGCGCCACTTCCGGCTTTTTTCTTTTTGCATATGTGGTGCTGAGGAATCGAACCCAGGGCCTCATGCATGCAAGGCAAGCGCTCTACCACTGAGCCACCTTCCCAGCCCCAGTACCAGCATTTTTTGAAAAGGAGGGGTGGGTAGGGGGAGATGAGCAGGTGTTAGAGCCAGAAAGGGTCCACTGGCACCCACTGGAGATTCTCTTCTTGACGTTGCTGAAGGAGTGACACAGGAGTCATTTTCTCACTCTGCGATCGATGTGGTCTAGTGCCAAGCAGGTGTTATAAGGAAACCCAGAGAGCCTGGCACCCACATGCGTGCATGGCCCTGAGTCTCCAGGGGTTCGTCCAGCCTCGACCCTTCACTGTGAGGTCCTGGGTGCCCCTTGAGCCTGGCAGTGGCCACCTCTGGCAGGGACTTCAAATCCAAGATGGATTGGAGTCCGAGGGGCAGGCTAAATTTCCCTTCTCCTTGCTGGGTACTGGGGCTGCTTAAGTTCTCTGACTACTCTGTTCTGGGACGGCAGCCTCCTCATTCCAGGCTCCTGCAGTTCATCTCACCCATGTTAGTTTGCTTTGTTTACCCTTTCTGCCCAGACAAGGAAAGCTTGCAGGTTCCTTTCCATGGTCCATATCTCCAGTAGCAATCCCTGCTCTCAAGTTTTGCCCGCAGATGCCAGAGAGCGCCGGCCTCCATGTCCTATGCAAATGAGCGTCTTCTCCCAATAGAGGGGGGAGAGGCCAGCCTGAACCAGGAAGATCCTGGATCCAGCCAGCTCTGACTTCCTCCCTCCATCCCACTGATTCCCGTCTGAGATCTCCAGTCCTGTCACAATCACTTGTGTCGAGCAGGTGCTTAGAAGGTGCCAGGGAAATGGCGGTCCAGGCAGGAGGCTTTGTGGAGCTGGAAAGCTAGTAAGGAAAATGGAGACTAAGAAAGGAATTGTGAACATGATTACTTAAGTATCGTTGTGATCAACACACTAAGGCACAGCCAGGGTCCTGAGGGTAAATGATAGGCCACCGGGAAGGGTTCTTCCGTGACTGGGAGCTGCTTGTTGAGCACAGCTTGGGGGCCTTAGCCAGTGACACTGGAGAAAGGAGAGGAAGGGAAATCTTCTATGTGCAAAGGCCCTGAGGCAGAAGGAAGGCCATTAGAGGATGGGGAAGACAGTGAGAAGAAGGGGCAGAGGAGGTCTAGCATGAGGAAACAAAAGAATGGTGGGGCCTGGGTCTGCCTCGGTGTCCCCAGACCAGTGTAGCTTTGTATGCTTGCTGGAAACTTGGGGTTTTACCTTTCCTGAGGGTCATGGGGGACCCACTAAAGATTTTATAAGAGGGAATGGCTGATGTGATTCAATCCACAGTTTTCAATCACAGTGATTTCTGGGCAGAGAATATGTACGAGGAAGAGGGACTGAGGCCAGGTGGTGAGTAAAAACAATGGTACAAGTATGACCATCTGAGGATTGTGTTCAAAGCCAGCCTGGGCTGGTCCTGGGGCTTGAACTCAGGGCCTGGGCACTGTCCCTGATCTTATTTTGCTCAAGGCTAGCGCTCTACCACTTGAGCCACAGTACCGCTTCCAGCTTTTGCTGTGTATGTGGTACTGAGGAATCCAACCCAGGGCTTCATGCATGCTAGGCAAGCACTCTACCACTAAGCCACATTCCCAGCCCTTCATTTATTCTTTTTTCTTTTTGTCAGTCCTGGGGTTTAAACTCAAGGTCTAGGGGATTGTCCCTGAGCATGTGTGCTCAGGGCTAGCCTTCGACATTTGAGCCATAACTCCACTTCAGGCTTTTTGCTGGATCATTGGAGATAGAGTTTCATGGATTTTTCTGCCCTGGCTATCTTTGAATCATGACCATCAGATCTCAGTCTCCTAAATAGCTAGGATTATAAGCTTAGCCCCTGGCACCCAGCTTACACATCTTTTTTGTGTATATGTAACTAAGCCAGTCTGGCCTTGAAATTGCAATTCTCCTGTTTCTGCCTTCTGAATGCTGGGATTACAGATCAGATGTTTGCTACCATATCTAGCTATTTCTCTTCCTCTCCACCTTGTCTTCTCCCTCTTCCTCCTCCTATTCCTTGTTTTTAATTTATTGTTATTATTATAAAGATGATGTACATCAGGGTTACAATTACATAAGGCTTGTAAAGAATACATTTCTTTTTGGACATCACCCCTTTTCTTCTTCTTGTGCTGGTTCTGGGGCTTGAACTCAGGGCCTGGGTGCTATCCCTGAGCTTTTTTCTCCAGGCTATTGCTGTACCAATTGAGCCATAGCTCCACTTCCAGCTTCTTGATTGTTAATTAGAGATAAGATTCTCCCTCACTTTCCTGCCCAGGCTGGCTTCAAATCACAATCCTCAGACCTCAGCCTCCTGAGTAGCTAGGATTACAGGCGTGAGCCACCAGTGCCAGACTATTCTTAATTGCAATTTAGCATTATTCTACTGATTTAACATTTATAAAATTCAATTTGATGTTCTTCCATCATTTATTATATTTAAGATGTACAGATACTGTTGTGAGCTTTTCACAAATATTAATACATTTTTACAGTTTGTTTTAAATTAATAATTGTGTATGTATGTGTGTATGTGTATGCTGGTACTGGGGCTTGAACTCGGGACCTTGAACTGTTGTTTAGCTTGTTTTTTGCTCAAGGCTGTCACTCTGTCATTTGAGCTACACTTCTACTTTCATCTGCTTACTGGTTAATTACAGATAAGAGTCTCTCAGAGGGGCTGGGAAGGTGGCTCAGTGGTAGCGCTTGCCTTGCATGCTCAAGACCCTGGGTTCGATTCCTCAGCACCACATAAGCAAACAGAAAAAAGCCGGAAGTGGCGCTGTGGCTCAAGTGGTAGAGCGCTAGCCTTGAGCTGAAGAGCTGAGGGACAGCGCCCAGGCCCAGAGTTCAGGCCCCACGACCGGACCCAAAAAAAAAAAAAAAAGTCTCTCAGATTTGTCTGACCAGGCTGGTTTCGAACCTCGATCCTCAGATCTCAGCCTCCTGAGTAGTTAGGATTACAGGCATGAGCCCCTGGCACCCAGCTTCATTTTTATTTATTTATTTTTATATTTATTTTTTTGTCAGTCGTGGGGCCTGAACTCTGGGCCTGGGCGCTGTCCCTCAGCTCTTCAGCTCAAGGCGAGCGCTCTACCACTTGAGCCATAGCGCCACTTCCGGCTTTTTTTTGCTTATGTGGTGCTGAGGAATCAAACCCAGGGCCTATGCATATCAGGCAAGCACTCAACCACTGAGCCTTCCCAGCCACATATAATTTATTTTTTGGTCTGTCATGGGGCTTAAACTCTGGGCTTGGGCGCTATCCCTCAGCTCTTCAGCTCAAGGCGAGGGTTTTCTAGTGGTTTATTGGGGATAAGAGTCTCACGGACTTTCCTGCCCGGGCTGGCTTTGAACCGTGATCTTCAGATTTCAGCTTCCTGAGTAGCTAGGATAACAGCCTATTTTCATATTTTTGTCAGTAGTGAGGTTTGAACTTAGGGCCTTGAGTTTTCTAGGCAGACACTCGGCCTAGCCTCCGGGCCCTGCCCCCTTCCAATATTAATTCACTTACTTCCCATGGTACCTCTGGGATGGTAGCTTGGTTATCAATGCCACTTCTGTGGATGAAGTGACTGAGGCAGAGAGAAATCCCTTGGTGTCTGTGACTCCTCTGCCAAGACTGGGAGAGGAAGCCGCCGGGCGAGGGCGAGGTCTCCCACTTGGAAGTAGAGCGGCCCAGATAGAACCCAGGTCTATCTGAGGCCAGAGAGAAAATCAGAGCTGGAGACTGGCCCCTGGGCCTGGGCACATGGGGAGTGAGTGGGCGGGGGAGGGGCAAGGGCACAAGCCAGGAAGAGATGCCATGTCAGGCTGAGGGTCCTCCTGAGCTGGAATTCTTCCCCACGGCCCAGCTGCTCCCCCCCCCTCCTTTTTCATGGGGCACGGTCCCCTGGGTGGCCAAGGCGCCAGGCCGGGCTGTAGATCTGACACCTCGTGCTGCCCAGCCTCTGATCAGAATCTGACTGCAGGGCAGAGGTGAAACTCAAGCCAGCCAGGCCTTGCCCAGCCTGAGTGTGGCTGTAGACACACAGGTCCCCTTCGTGGGGCAGCCCGGGGAGCGGGGAGGAGGCCTGCCAGCGGTGGTCTTGTTGGATCCCCAAAGAGCCTGTGTCCCCCCCTGGGGCATTGGGCAGGCTGCAGCCCAGTGTCCCAGGACGCTGGCCCCTAGGGTCCCCAGGGAGGCTCCCAGCCACCCAGCTCTCAGGTGAGCGGCCGGGATCGGATTCCTGGGTTTTATGTCCTGCATTGTTCTTGGCTGGGCCCAGGCTTATGAAACAGTAATGAGGGGCCCCTGCTCCCGAAGCCCGCCCCTCTAGGGTTTCCACTGCCAGGCTCCAGCGCCGTCAAGGCACAGAGTCAGGGCCTGGGAGGGACGGCCGTGTGGGGGGCCAGAGCCGGAGCCCCCCGGGGAACGAGGGTGCTGACAGCCACCAGCCGCCAGCCAGCCACCGAGCCCGCTGCCCAGGTAACCCGAGAGGAGGCGGGGCACCGGGTGCCACGGCCCTGGCTCCCACCGCAGGGGAGGGCCCGGCCACTCTGGGAGAAGTGGGGGGGCCTGATGGAGGGGGCAGCCGTTCCCCCTGGGTGAGCCCAGCTCTGGCCTTCTTGCTGCGGCCTGGCTGCCGGCAGGGGGAAAGGAACTGCTGGGCTAAAGGCGGGTGCCCACATCTGGGGGCTTAACCATGCAGCCCTGGAACCCCCCGACCGTCCTGGAGTGTGAGCTGGCTCTGCTCTCCTCTGCTGAGCCCCTCGGGCTCCCGTCCCCGACCCCCGCACCCCCTGCGCTCTCCAGCCCCGCTTAGCCTTCCCCAACCCTTGTCTTCTGGCTACAGAAGACCCTTGGCGTCCTCTGTGTACTTCCTCTTCCCAGGGGCACACACTTAGAAGTTCATTTGTAAATGAACGCGCACTTGGAAACGAACGTGCACTAGTGGACCTAAGGGGCCTGCACGCATGTGTGCGTGTGTGCTCTGACATCAACTCCGTGAGCACACAGGTGTCCAAGCACCCCGGCCCTGACACACATGATCACCTGCAGCCGGCCCAGGCACGTACACGCGTGTGTACATGCAGGTGCCCACCTGCGCCAGGTGCTCGCGCCAGCCTGGTGGCTCCCGGGGAGGCAGGTGGGCTCCGCCGTGGCGCCCTCCTTGAGTCCAGAGATCCCAGGAGGAGATGTCCGCCTGCTCCCACCCGCCCCCGCTGGGAGGGGCTGGGGTGGGGGGAGGGGAGGGGAGCCCCACGTGGGTCTGAGCTGCCTCCAATCTGCATCGCCGGTCCAGGAACCCAGGAGCCCTTCCAGCGAGGACCTGCCGTACTGTGACCTGCCCCGCTGCCCGCTGCCCGCTGCGGACCTCCTCAGGGCGACAGCCTCCACTGGCCAGTCCGCGGTGGGCCTGGGCCTCAGGCGGGGACCTGAGAGGTGGGTAGAACCCCGGGAGCTGGGCCCAGGCTCCCTGGGAGAGGATACCCTCCCCGCCCCACCCACACCCCTTCACAATGGCAGCGTCCATCTGACAAGAGGCTGGCACACATCACGTGGTCAGCCCAGCAGCCTGGGCACAGGCGGGCAGGAGGTGCACTCCTTGGGTCCCTGGGAGAACTCAGATCAGATTGTCCCTGCTTGTGGTGGGGGGTACTGGCCCTGCGGTCCCCAACTTGGCCTGTTTCCCCCCCCCCATGACCTTGTCTACCCATAATTCCACAGGGTTGGACTCAGCTTTGTCCCAGGGTGTGTGGCCGCCGTGCACATCTGAGGTCCTTTTGCACGGCTTTGAAAGAGGCTGTCTTCAGTCAGGGTTCCTGGAGTCACCCCTCACAGCTGTGCTTTGCTCTGAGCTATGGGATTCCCTCCCCCCCCAGGCCTCCACTGACCTGAGTCTCCCCCTCTGGGGTTTGGGGACCTGGGGATCTAGGAACCTGAGTCCCAGCTTCAAATCTGGTGGGACTATGGGCAAGTTACCCCATCTTTCTTTGTCCCCTTTATCTGAAGTGGGGGGGGACTTAGGATATAGCTGAGTGATACAGGGTATGTGGCCTCAATGTAAAAATAGAAGATGTAAACAATGTAAAAATAGAAGGGGCTGGGAAGGTGGCTCAGTGGTAGAGCGCTTGCCTTGCATGCATGAGGCCCTGGGTTCGATTCCTCAGCACCACATAAGCAAAAAGAAAAAAGCCGGAAGTGGCGCTGTGGCTCAAGTGGTAGAGCGCTAGCCTTGAGCTGAAGAGCTGAGGGACAGCGCCCAGGCCCAGAGTTCAGGCCCCACAACTGGATCCCCCCCCCCAAAAAAAAAAGAAGAAGAAAAAAGAAAGGGAAAAGAAGGAAAAACAGTTGTTGCCTTAAGAACAGGTGCATCTCACAGGTAGGCATAATTATTTTTTAAATCTCCACTTTCAAATGTAATTTCAAAAAAGTCTGGGACAAATGAAATTGAAGGTCTTTCCTGCAGGACTTGTCAGGGCCTTGAGTGCTGCGGCCTGCATGGTGGGGTTCAGGTGGGGGTGACAGAGGAGTATAGAGTCACTCTAGCCTGCTTACTTCTTTTTGGTGCCCATCCTGGAGCTGGAACCCAGGGCCTGGGAACTAGCCTTGAGCCAAAAGGCTCAAGGGACTACGTGAGCCACAGCTCCACTTCTGGCTTTTTGCTGGTTCCCTGGAGATAAAGTCTGATGGGCTTTTCCTGTCCAGGCTGGTGTCAAACTGCAATCCTCAGATCTCCGCCTCCTGAGTGGCTGGGATTGTAGGGTTTTCACCCATTACCACCTGGTAGTTCAGTCTGGAGAGCCTGCCAGTCATAAGCTTAACGGGAGCTGTGTCTGCCCTGGACAGCCTCTCCTTGGCGGGCTTCCTCTCCCCTCCCCAGCTCCTGCCCTGGGAGGGAGGGGCGGGGTTCTGCTTTGCACACCCCTTCTCTCGATTCTGTTCCCCTCCATTGACAGAGGGTTGGGGCCTGGTTATAACCCAGCTCTGCTCTTTCTTTTTATTTTTTGCCAATCCTGGGGCTTGAACTCAGGGCCTGGGCCCTGTCCCTGAGCCTCTCTGGGCTCAAGGCTAGCACTTCTACCACTTGAGCCACAGCGCCACATCTGCCTTTTTCTGTGTATGTGGTTCTGAGGAATTGAACCCAGGGCCTCATGCATGCTAGGCAAGCGCTCTACCACTGAGCCACCTTCCCAGCCCAGCTCTGCTCTTTCTTAGCTCTGTGGCCTTGGCCAGGCTCTGGATCTCTCTGAGCCAGTTTCTACCTCTGTACCATGGGAGACTACGCTCACTGAAGCAGGCCTGCTCCGGCTTCCACCTCTGGTGCATGCGTACGGGTGCCTGCGTGTGGGGAGGGTGGGGTGGCTCATGGGCCTGACTCCTCTCCCAGGGGGGCATCCGCAGCAGCAGGGCGCCCTGAGCAGGACCTCTCCCCCACCTGCCCCCAGCAGGTGCCGGGACCCGGGGGCAGTGCCCTGCGTGGAGGGCCCGGCCGGCTCCCCCTGCAGCAGCCGAGACGAGGACCCCAACTCGGACACCACCTCAGGCTCCGACAGGGACACCCCTGATGAGACCAGCAACTCCTCCTCGCTGGTGAGCTGGGGTCGGCGGTGGGGGGCACATGCAGAGACCCCCCTCCAGATGAGGGTTGAGAGCCTCACCGCAGAGCACCGGACCACAGCACGCTGCCATGTTGGCTGGCGGCACTTTGGGCCTCCTGGCTGTCTGGCTAAGGGGAGGCCCGGGGTGAGGCCTGGTCAGAGAAACAGCCCCCTGTCCACGCGGGGATGAGTTTGGGGTGAGAAGAACTTGGATGAGTCGCCAAGAGTCTCTTACAACAAGGAGGATGGGGGGAGGGCATGGTAGCCGGTACATTGGCTCTGGCCTGGGCCTGGTTCCATGCTGCTGACTTGCTGACTGACTCCATGCCTCTGATCCTGGCAATCACTGTCCAAAGACAGAAGGAAATGGATGGGCTGCAGTGGGGAGGGCAGCGGGCTCCCCACTATCCTCTGAGTTAGAGTTTATGGAAGTACTGTGTGTGGGGGTTTGAGGTTCAGAAAGGGAAAGCAATTTGCTTCAGGCCACACAGCTGGGAAGTGGTGGGGCTAGGATTTGAACCCATGCCTCCCAACGGCAGGCCTTTGGCCTAGGTCTTGGCTCTCAACCTGCTTTTTCTTCTCTTCCCCTGGCAGGATTGGGACACCGCTGAGAGACCGAGGGAGGTCCCCAGCTGGGACGAGCTCACCGTGATGATCCCTCGGAAGCCCCAGGAGGGGGTAAAAACTGACAGCGCCCGCAAGGTCCCCAAGTCCCCGGTCAGAGGAGACACTGCAGGCCAGAGGAAGGAGGGTAAGTCCTCTGCTGGGCTGGTCCCCAGGACCATGGGTGTGTGGTGATGCCTGAGCCCAGCATCGCCGGCGAGTCATCTCCCTGGTCATCCGGGACCCTGGGCAGGAGAATCTTACCCATAATAATGTTCTCCTAAATATGGAGAGTCCAGGATATGCTCTGCCTGCTCACACCTTCTGGGTTAGAAAAGAAGCTAGTGGAACAGAAATGGAATGACTCCCAAGATAAAAGAGATGCAGCTACAGGTGTGGCTGGATCCAGGTGTTTGAACACCACTTAGAATCCAGCTCCACTGTTAGCTAGTGCCATCGCCGTCTGCTGCTCATCAGCTTCCACAGAAGGGCACAGTCTTGGCCAATCAAGGTCATTAGGATTCTCACCAGGACCCAATGTAGGCCAAGAGGCTCATCTTGGTGGCCAAGGTGAGCCCCTTGTGCAAGCCTCTAAGGCTGAGATGGGGGATGGGAAATCAGGGTGAATATCCTAAGAGAAAGAGAAAAGGCTGCTGTTAGGCCAATCTCACAAAACAGGGAGCATTCTCCATTAAAGGAAGCTGCGGGGAGGGGGGGGGATCTGCCCGTCAGGGAGGTGACATGATGCCAGGGTGACCAGAGGGCAGGTTGGCTAGGAGAAGACAGACTCTAAAAGATGTTACTGAACATCTAGCAGTTTAACACAGTCCGTGCGTTGGGCCCAGCCGTCTCAGGGTGAATGGCATTGTAATCAGGAGAGGTGGTTTGTTGTTTTCGGTTTTATTTTTTATCAGTTGTGGGGCTTGAACTTGGGTGCTGTCCCTGAGCTTTTTTGCTCAAGGCTTTGAGCTACAGCTCCACTGCCAGTTTTCTGGTAGGTCACTGGACTTAAGAGTCTCATAGACTTTCTTGCTCAGGCTGGCTTCAAACCATGATCCTCATATCTCAGCCTCCTGAATAGCTAGGAGTACAGACGCAAGCCACCAATGCCTAGTCCTAATCTCTTATTTTGTCGGTAATGGGACTTGAACTCTGGGCCTGGGCACTGTCTCTGAGCTCTTCACCTCAAGGCAAGCGTTCTACCACTTGAGTCATAGTACCACTTCTGGTTTTCTGGTAGTTAATTGGCTTTGACCTGCGATCCTCAGGTCTCAGCCTCCTGAGTAGCTAGGGTTACAGGCCCAAGCCACCTGCACCCCAGCTTTTTTTTTTTAACTTAAGGAGATGCTTGTGGCAGAGGTAAGCAGAAGGGGCCTGACTCACTCTCATGACAAGGAATGGGGGTGACGGGGAGAGTCAGAGGGGGTGCAGGAAGGGAAGAAGGCGGGTAAATGGATGAGACTAACAAATGTCATTATCCAGGTGCTGGTGGCTCACGCCTGTAATCCTAGCTACTCAGGAGGCTGAGATCTGAGGATTGCAGGAGAAAGAAAGATCTGGGTTCAAAGGCATCCCAGGCAGACAAATCTGAGAGCTCATCTCCAATTAATCAGTACCTGGAAGCGGAGGTGTGGCTCAAATGGTAGAGTACCAGCCTTGAGCAGGAAAAAACAACAACAACAAAACTCAGCAAGAGTGTCAGGCCGTGAGTTCAAGACCCAGTGCCAGCACACATACACACGTACGTGCGCGCGTGTGCGTACACACACACACACACACACACACACAGAGGTGGCTCAAGTGGTAGCATGCCAGCCATGTGCAAGCAACAAGAGGCTTTGGGTTCAAGCCCAGGTGTGGGGTGGAGGACACAGGGAAGACAAGCCGTGAACAGCTGGGGCCTTCTGGGGAAGGACAGAACACAGTCCCTCCGCTCTTTTGTAACCCTTCACTGCCACCCAGGTGAGGGAATGAGGGCCACGGTGGATGGGGTAAAGGGAAGTTCATAGAAGAGATTTAGGAAGGAGACTGAGAGGACTGGGGACGATCCCTGGTTTGGGTGTCCGGCTGGATGGCGGTGCCCTTGGCCTTCTTGGGTGGGAAGCAGCAGTAGCTGGAGGAAAGCCATGGTCTGGTGGGACTGGATCTTGTCCTAGGTGCCAGCTACCCCGCCGCTCCACTTAAACAGGGAGGGGGCGGGCCTTACCCTGTGACCCACTAAGCAGCTGTCAGCTCTGTCCACCTAGTGGCAGCTCCATGAATTGCAGGCTGGGGCCAAGGCTCTGGAGGAATGAATGAGCCAAGTGTCAAGCTGGGGCCTCGGAATCCCTTCTAACTCTCAAGAACAGAGGCAGGTGCTGGGAGGGTCTAAATGGAAGCGGGGTGGTGGGAAGGGGAAAGATGTGGGCTAGGGATGGGATGCTCAGAAGGGTAGGGACTGGAGCCAGAGGTAGCAGCAAGGTGACTGCATACCTACTGTGCACTGGGCCCCTTTGCAAGCCTGAGAGGTACCAGCCTTGGCTCTACCCAAACAGAGCTTTCTAGGGAGAGAACAGATAATCAAGTAAACAAGATAGACTGGGGGGAGGAAGTGCTCCTCCTGGGTAACCAGGGGACTCTGAGCAAAGACCCCTTGCCAGCCAGGCTAGGAGGAATCAGTACTTAAGACAAAGGCAGCAAAGCAAGAGCAAAGGCCCTGGGGTGGTGATGTACTATAGCAAGTTTCAGGGGCTAAAAGACTGGGTGATAGAGCATGGGGAGTGGAGAAGGGACTGTCAGAGGCCAAGCTGGGAAGAGGGCAGAGACCAAATCCTATAAAGCCTTTTCCTGCTGGGTAATACTGGATTTGATTTCAACTAAATTAGTCCCTCAAGAGGTGTGTGCATGTGTGTGTGTGCGCGCGTGTGTATGTGCGCCCATGCACACGCATGCTGATATTGACGGAGCTTGAACTCAGGGCCTGAGTGCTGTCCCGAGATTTTGCTCAAGGCTGGCTCTCTATAACTTGAGTCACAGCTTTACTTCCAACTTCTTTGCTAGTTCATTGGAGATAAGAAAACCATGGACTTTTCTGCCTGGGATGGCAGTAGTTAGGATCTCAGTTCAAAGCCAGTCTGGGTAGAAACACCTGTGACTCATATCTCCAATTAACCAGCAAGAAAATCAGAAGTGCAGGTGTGGTACAGAGCCAGCCTTGAGCGAAAAAAACAAACAAGAGTGTGAGGCCCTGAGTTCGAGCCCCAGTACCATAGCATTAAACAAATGCATTCTAGAGCCACTTCCTGATAGTTCACACCTGCAATCCTACTCAGGAGGCTGAGATCTGAGGATTGTGGTTCAAAGCCAGCCCAGGCAGGAAAGTCTGTGAGACTCTTCAATTAACCACCACGAAACCAGAAGTGGCTGTGGCTCAAAATGGTAGAGCACAGGTGTTAGCCCAATGAGCTTCCTTCCCATAGCTTAGCATGCTCCTTCCCTTTCCACAGCTTAGCGTGCTCCTTTTTTAGGCAGCACAAGGCCCATCTAGTAAAGGCAGTCAATAATCAGCCAGTAAATAATCAGCTTCCAACCGCCTCCACTTCTCTGTGCAGCTATCACCATATAAGGCAGCAAGAGCCCCTTGGAGTGACCTTAGGGTCTGGGCAGCTGCAGGGCCCCTTATTTACTACTTGGGCAGCAGCCATCAATCCTAGTCCGCCATGATGAAGCCCTTGGCCCTCACCAGGATCTCTGCCTCTGAGCTCCTCCTCAGTAGGTTATACAGCCAATAACCGGTGCTTCTTCTCACTTCTCCCTTGTGAGAAGGGGTCTTGCCAGCCCCTTTCCCAGTGATAAACCTTTGTACCTGGATGTCTGCATGGTTTTCTGGCAAAGTCTAAAATACTCTAACCACAAGCCTTGAGCAAAGGGGCTCAGACACAGCATTCAGGTTCTGACAACACACACACACACACACACACACACACACACACACAGTCTCATGGACTCTCCTGCCTGGGCTGGCTTCAAACCACGATCTTCAGATTTTAGCCTCCTGAATTGCTCACAGGGGTGAGCCACCAACCCCTGGTATAGTCTGGATTTCAGTTGGCTTCACATTGGTTTGTTTTCAAATTCCTAACGTGGCTGGAAAGGCCTAATAGCCTCTCAGAAGCAGGCATGGTAGCCATGTGGGTTCCCATCCCAGGGGGCCAAGGGCGGTGGGCCACGAGAGCTGCGGGGACCCTTCCCCTAACCTCTAACCTTCTGTCTCTCTCCAGACTCCGGTGGCGGTGGCGGAAGGAGTGCTGGACAGCACTGGGTGCGACTCCGAGGGGAGAGTGGGTACTTTTCCTTGGAGCGGCACAGCCCGGGGGTTCCAGCCCAGGCTTCCTCTGCCACATCACGGAGTGGACCTCGCGGTGCCATCCTCCTTCCTTCCCCTGCCCAGGCGGCTTCTACACCCCAGGGAAACCCCCGGGCCTCCTCTCCACCCCAAGTCTCCCAGAGAAACAACCCCAGGACCTCAGCCCCGCAGCAGAATACTCCAAGAAGGTCCTCTCCTTCAAGAATCTCCACGCGGGAAAGTCCCAGAACCTTGTCCACCCAGCGAAGCCATGTTCAGCTCTCCTCCTCCCTCAGAGCCTCCTCAGAGAGCCTCAGAACCGCTGCCTCACGACGCGACAGCCCCCAAACAGCTGGGCCCGCTTGTCTTCCTCAAAGGGACACCCCCAGGACAGCCTGTGTCCAGAGGGACACCCCAAGAGCCTCCTCTCCTAACAGACCCGCCCAGTGGGACAAGCCCAGAGCATCCTGTGCCCAGCAAGACAACTCGAAGACGCCCTGTGCCCAGCGGGGCCACCCGAGACCCTCCTCTCCCAATAGAACCACCCAGCAGCCCTCCCCCAGGACAGCCTGTGCCCAGCGGAGCAACCCCAGATCCCCGTCTCCCAACAGACCCGCCCAGCGGGACAATCCCAGACCCCCATCTCCCAGCGGGACTGCCCAACGTGACCACCCTCGGATATCCTGTGCCCAGCGGTGCCACCCCAGATCCCCGTCTCCCAACAGACCCGCCCAGTGGGACAAGCCCAGAGCATCCTGTGCCCAGCAAGACAACTCGAAGACGCCCTGTGCCCAGCGGGGTCATCCCAGGCCCCCCTCACCCACCAGAAGCGCCCAGCGGGGCAACCCCGGGCCCCCCTCTCCCACGGGGACTGCCCCGCGTGACCACCCCACCCCAGGAGAGAGCCGGAAAGCCTCTTGCACCCGATGGGAGCATCTCCGAAATGCCTGCACCCAACGGGACAATCCGCACCCCTCATCCCTGCACCCAGACAACCCTGGGACCGGCTCTTCCCAAAGCTGCTCCCCCAAGGACCATCCCAGAGCTGCCTCCCCGCGCCGCTCCACTCCACACGGCAGCCCCCCAAATCCTTCCCCTCACCGCACCAACCAAGACATCCCCTGGGCCTCCTTCCCCCTCCGGCCAACCCAGAGCGATGGCCCCCGGACCTCCTGGCCGGCCCGCTCCAAGCAAAGCGAGGTGCCCTGGGCGTCCATTGCCCTCCGGCCCACCCAAGGGGACAGGCCTCAGGCCGGCCGGCCCGCCAGCCCGGCCCAGCGGGGCCCGCCGCAGGCCTCCCCCGCGGCCCCCGCCCCGGGCGCCTCGCCCCCCCAGCCTGGCGCGCGCGGGGCGCCCCACGCCGCCTCCTGTGCTGTGTGCATAGGGCACCGGGATGCGCCCCGGGCCTCCTCGCCACCCCGATTTCTGCAGCATGACCCTTTCCCTTTCTTCCCCGAACCCCGGGCCTCTGAGGGCGACTGGCCCCACCACGACCCCCCCTACATGCCGCCCGCCGTGTGCATCGGGCACCGCGACGCCCCCCGCGCCTCCTCGCCCCCGCGCCATGCCCCGTTCGACCCCTTCCCCTTCCTTCCAGACGCGGCGGATGCCGAAGAAAGCCAGCCCCCCCAGCACGAGCCGCCTCAGTTTCCCCCAGCCGTGTGTATCGGGTACCGGGACGCGCCCCGGGCCTCCTCCCCGCCCCGCCAGGTCCCGGAGCCCGCCCTCTTCCTCCAGGAGCTCCCCAGGGCCAGCACGGAGAGCCTGGCCCCGTCCACGGACTCCCTGCGCGGGCGCCCCCCCGCGCCCGCCCCCGTGTGCATCGGACACCGCGACGCGCCCTCCTTCTCCTCGCCGCCCCGCCAGGCCCCGGAGCCGTCCCTCCTCTTCCAGGACCCCCCGGGGACGAGCACCGAGAGCCTGGCTCCCTCCACCGACTCTCTGCTGGGCGCTCCGCTGGGGCCCCCCCAAGTGTGCATCGGCCACCGGGACGCACCCCGGGCCTCCTCGCCACCCCGCCACCCCCCCAGTGAGCCGGCGCTGCGGGTCTCCTCCCCGCCCCCGGGCAGCTCGGGCTCCCGCGGCTCCGCGGAGACCAGGCACAACCTGGAGAGGGAGCAGTACGCCATGCTGGCCGACCTGCCCCCGCCCCGGAGGCTGGCACACAGGGAGCCGGGGCCCCCGACGCAGGGCAGCAACGGGGGCCGCACCCGCAGCCCCGGCCGCACAGAGGTGGAACGCCTCTTCGGGCAAGAGCGAAGGTGAGCCAGGACGGGGGCAGGAGGTCGAGGTCCCGGGAGGATCCCCCCAGCCCCCCAGCAGGACAGGTGGAAGGGTCCTGCGCCTGTTAGAGGAAGGGTTGGGGTCCTGCCCTGTGTCCGACGGTGGGGGAGTCACTTCACTTGTCGGTGTCTGCCTGTGAGGGGCAGAGCTAGCCTAACCCGTGCCTCAGTTTCCTCCTCTGTCAAATGGAAGGGAACACGAGCCCATTTATTCAAATGAGGTCAAACTTCTCAGACCCTCTTCTGGGTCCAGGGTCAGAGATTTGGGGGGAGGGTGGTGGTGGTTTTTCCTCCTTGTGTGAGGGAGAAAAAGTGGCTGTGATTCTTTTCTGTCTTAACAAATTCACATGTCCCATAACAGACGTTCCACTTAAGACTCCCAGCCAGAGTCATGTAGTCGATTTTCTTTATTTAGTGTTGATTTTACTTATTTGGGATAGAATATTGGGTGCTCTACCACTGAGCTATGCTCAGAACCAATTTGTATATGTGTATGTGTGTGTGTGCCAGTACTGGGGCTTGAACTCAGAGCCTTACGCTCTTGCTTGGCTTTTTCCCTCAAGGCTGGCACTCTACCACTTGAGCTACAGCTTCACTTCCAGCTTTTTGCTGGTTAACTGGAGCTAAAAGTCTCATAGACTCTATTTGCCTAGTCTGGCTTCACACCATGATCCCCAAGATCTCAGCCTCCTAAATAGTTAGGATTTCAAGAATGAGCCATAGTGCTTGGCTTGGAACTCCATATTTTGAATGAGAGAATTACAGACTTAGAGATAAAGCATTGCTTTCTCAGGACCTGGAAATCCTCCTTGGTCCACAGTCCCAGAACTGCTGGGAAAGGAAGAATCTTATCCAGCTGAGAGCTATCCCCAGCAGTATCAGCCCCTGGGTTTTCAAAGATCAGATCTGGAATTCAATTAGAGTCAAGAGAAACAGGAGAGACACAGACACAGACAGAGAGAAGAAAAGAAAGCAGATCTGGACGTCTCAGAACTTTGAGTTTATAAATCAATGAATTTTAGTATATTTACAGAGAAGTACAACCCTATCTACAATCTAATTTTAGAACATTTTCAGCACCCTAGAGGGACATGTGATATTTTGTACCTACTGGTCCTCTCTTTCCTACCTCTAAGGACCATTTCTCTGAGATTTGGATCTGCACAAGAAACCCTATCTCTTATTCTTCAAATTTCCTTTTCCAGTAAACTTGATCCATTTAATATCCAAGAGACAACCTTTGTCCACCCCAGCACACTGGATTAATTCTCCTTGGCCATTTTTTTTTAAATACTTAAAAAGAAAAAGAGCACTTTTAGGTTTGCAACAAAACTAAGACCAAAGTTTGGGGTTTCTAGGTACCCCTACCCAGATATAAACAGGCCACTTCTGTTATAGTCTATAAACCTACATACCTAGTTTGCTTGCTTGCTTCCTTCTTTCTTTCCTCCCTTCTTCCCTCCCTTTTTTCCTCCCTTCCTCCCTACTCTCCATTCCAGTACTGGGGCTTGAACTCAGAGCCTAGAGCTCTCACTTGGCTTTTTTGCTCAAGGCTAGTACTCTACCCCATGAGCCACAGTTCTACCTCTGTCTTTTTGGTGGTTAGAGACAAGATGCTCATGGACTTTTCTGTCCAGGCTGGTTTAGAACCTTGATCCTCAGATCTCAGCCTCCTGAATAGCTAGGATTACAGGCGTGAGCCACTAGCACCTGGCTTGTTAATCAAGGTCTTATAACCAGTAAGTTTTTTTTTTTTCCACTTGCATGGCTTTTTTTTTTTTCAAGAGGAATGTTATCTGTCCTCTGAAGACAGGGGCTAAACGAGTTACCCATTTGTGGAAGGGACAGGTTGAGTTTACGAGTGGGTGGCGGTACTGCTGTGTTTTCCCCCCAGTACGTGTTTGTTGAGCATCTACTCTGTCCAAGCATTGTTCCGAGCCAGGGGCCTTTCTCTGCAAGGGCTAGTAAATGTTTTGGGTTGGTTTTTTTTTTTTTTTTTGCAATCTCTACAATCACATAAGCATCCACAATTATTTGGAAAACATCCTGCCTTTAGATTAGCTTTGGTTCTTTAAAGGCACTGGAGGCTAACCAGCCCACCCGACCTTCCAAAAAGAAACTTGGTCATCCCTGGGGTCATGACCCCAACCCCTAAGCAGGTGGCTCTAGAAGATGACACTGTCCCAATACACAGACCCAGAAAAGTATCTAGAGTGCCTCGGACTAATGGGGGGGGGGGGGGGGACGACTGCCTGTGGAGCCTCGGACTAATGGGCAGGGGGGGAGACTGCCCGTGGAGCAAGCTGGAATTTGTGCGGAACATTTCACATTGGGCTCCTCCAATCCTGGCGTGGTAGGCCATCTTCTACCGCTTTCCTTCCCTCCCCTCATCCCCTGCCCAGTAGGGAGGAGAGTCTCACCTTTTACCAAAGCTCCTAGAGTTTAGATTTCAGTTCTGGGGAGATCCACTCAAAGACCTCAGTTCTCACAGAGCAAGGGAACGGTCACCTCAAATCTGATTTAAAATCACAGGGGGTCAGAGAACCCTCAGCCTTTGAGATGCTCCCAGGAAAGGAGCCCATCTGCGTCCCATCTGCATGGACCACTGAGAACCACCGCAAACTCCACTTACTCCCTCGAGCCAGGTCTAATGGCGCTGGCAAAGGCTGCACGGATACAGCACCCCCCAGCCCCAAACTTGAATTTGTTTTCCCTCCCTGCAACCTCTGCAGTGCTTGCTTTTTTGCTGGCACTGGGGCTTGAACTGTGAGCCTGGAAACTGTCCTTTAGCTTTTATTGTTCAAGGCTAGCACTCTCGCGCTTGAGCCACAGCTCCACTTGCAGCTTTTTGGTGGTTAATTCGAGAGAAGAGTTTCACAGATTTTCCTGCTGTGGTTCTGACACCCCCCGTTAGGGGAGGGTCACATGTATACAGTGTACTTGTAGCTTCTACTTTTACAAAAAAAAAAAAATTGGCGGTACTAGGGTTTGAACTCAGGACCTTGTGCTTACTAGGTAAAAGCTCCCCCAACTGAGCCGGCCTTGGACTGAAATCCTCCTATCTATGCTTCCCACCTTGCTAGCAAGACAAATGTAAACCATCCAGTGCTTTAGAAAGAGTCTCCCTAACTTTTTTGCTTAGGTTGGCCTTGATCCTCCTACCTCCACTTACCAAGTTGTTGGGATTACAGGCGTGAGCCACTGTGCCCAGTCTCCTACCCATTATGAAGCAAGACAACTTCCTGGAAGGGGGGACTTTTCCCACCGGTTAGAGTTATTTCTGTGGCCTGTGACATTTGCCAACGTAGCTGGCTTTTCTGGAATTGTTGGGGAGGAAAGATGGTTTCTCCATCAGTTTTAGTCAAAAGGCTGAGAGGTGACGAAAGGGTGTGTTTCCCTTCTCATCACGCTAAAAGCTCTTTCGCCAACAGCTAGAATGTTCTGGAGTTTTCAAGGCTGATTGCTGGAGTCCTGTTAGCTCTGAGGAGAGGACAAAAGCCGCTTAAGAAACTCTCATTTACAATGTGGACAGAAAAGGGCAGAAGTGGCGGGGTACAGGCCCGTACCATCTCCCCTTGGCCCTGCCACCTGGGGCTGCCGAGGGCCAAGTAGGCTCGGGCATCTCAAGGGTTGGCATCTGGAACCCAGGAAATGCTCAATAAACATTTGTTCAACATTTGTGATGACGTGTGCACGATGCTTGGTACACAGTAGGTGCTCAATAAATCCAGTTCCCCTCAGGACCAGTCTAACCTTTGCCCTTGGTGGCTGGTGAGCGGCTGGTTAGTAACAGGAAGTGGTGACACAGGAAACAGTGACAGCCAAGGTCCGCCCCTCCCCCATCCTGCTCCCTTCACTCACTCCTTTTCTCCGTGTTCTTCACCATCCCATGGGGCAGATGAGACAGCGCTGATCAACCTGATTTCTCAGAAGGGGAAACTGAGGCCCTTAGGAGGGTTATCCCTCACGAGGACCCTCCAGTGAGCTTGGGGGGGGGTCTCTGGCACTCCCATATCTTGGGGTGGGAGGAAAGGGCTGGTAGGGGCGGGGGCTGGGAATGGAGTTACCCCGAAATCCCTCAGAAGCAGCTGCCTTTGGTCATAGGAAGTCTGAGGCCCCCGGAACCTTCCAGGCTCGGGATGAGGGACGGTCACCACGGCCCAGCCAAGGTCACAGCCAGCTCCGAAGACAGTCCAGCCCTGCCCCCAGTAGGCAGGTGAGCAGTGCCAGCCACCGGGCCCCAGGGGATGCCTCGGGCCTTCCCCCTCCCCTTGGTGGCCAGGCAGGGAGGCCAACCCCGAGTGTCAAAGCCCTGGTCGGGGTGCCCGGCTCTCCCCTCTCCCCAGCAGTTTTGAATGTAAAGGATGGCATTGGGGCTTGGAGGACAGCCTCCACCCTTCCTTCCCTGGTGCCTGGAGGGGCAAGGCCCACCCCCGCGGGACGGGTACTGCGGGTGGAAATTTGGGTACTTGATAGCCCAGGTTGGAATCGATACCCTGTGATGGGGCGGACGGGGGAGGGGGGAGCCCCAGAAAGCCAGCAGATCCTCGCAGATCTCTTTCTGGAACTGCGGAACGCGGGTGAGAAGGAAGAGCTGATCCCCCGCGGAGGGGCGCCCGCCTGGAGACGCTGTGTGTGTCTCCACCGCCCTGGATCCCGGCTGCTGTGGAGACAGCCTCGCCTCTCCCGGTGCCTGGCCAGAGCCCCCAGCGGCCCCTGGGCCTCACCTGCCCCTCACCTCATCCTCAGGTGGCCAAGCCCCCCGCCAAGCAGGTAGAACCAGCCCTGCGGAGCCGATCAGAGGCCCCTCATCCTGACAGGCGACCTGAGGGGGACCGACGGCTCCAGGGGTCCTCACCACCCGTCAGGACATCAGCCAGGCCCCGGGAGAGAGAGCTACGGACAGACAGACACCAGGAAAGGAGCTGGGGCAGCCAGGAGGAACACTCGGGGATACGTGGGGACTGGCCAGGACTTGAGGAGCCCAGTCTGGAGGGGACCCAGAGGAGCCCTTCCAGGGAGCACAGGGAAAGCTGGGGGCAGCCAGAGGCCTGGGAGGAACCCCCCCACAAGGCCCAAGGGAGCCTCTGCCGGCCTGTGAACCCCCCAGAGAAGTGGGAAGGCCTGCAGCCCGAGATCCCCATGATCATGGGCTGGGAGGCAGAGGGCGGAGGCCCGCCCCCTCAGGGCCCTGACAGGCAAGCCCAGCTTGACTGGAGGGACTTGCTGGGCCTCCTCCAGCCCCCCGGGGAGGGGGCCTGGGCCCGACTCCCAAGGCTGGACTGGGAAGGCCTCCTAGAGCTCCTGCAGGCCCAACTGCCTCGCAAGAACTCTGCTGAGCCCTGGGGTGAGCCGGCCAAGGCTTCAGTGCCAGATCTGGGCCCCCCAGGCACAAAGGAAACCCAGGAGCAAGAGCAACAGCACCATCCTGAAGGCTGGGCAGATGCCAGCCTCCTCAATGGACACAGCCCAGCGCAGCAGCCCCACAGCCCAGCCCAGCCGCCCAGCCCAGCCTGCACCTCCACCCAGTGGCCAACCACCAAAGTGACAAGTGGGCCAGCAACAGCAACTCTGGCTGATCTGGAGCAGCCGGGCCAGCTGGGGGGCCCCAGCCCGCCAGAGCCAGAGGTAAGTTTGTCACACTGGGAAGGGTGGCCAGGAAGCCAAGCCAAGACTTTGTAGAAAGGCCTCTTGTGAGCTGGGTGAGGTAGCTCACACCTTTAATCCCAGTCTCCCCAAGAGCCAGAGATCAGGATGAACGCAGAGAGAGGTCAGTCCCAGCAACATGTCAGCAGAAGTGCTGACCAGCCCGCTCTGAGCCTTTACTTCATGCCAAGCCCCAGCCAAATGGTGCCGTGTGTGCTTCCCACCAGGTTTCCATGGCAACCCGGTGAGAGTGAGTGACACCTTTCCTTGGTGGGTGAGGAACCTGAGGTAGAGGCAGAGAGGGCAGCTGGAAGCCAGGTGGGCTCAGCGCCCATTACCAGAGACCTTACGGCACACACTCTGGTCAGGGCTTACTCTCATCTTGGCCACACAACTCCTAGTTTGTGTTGGATCTGAGGCTCATATCTGCCCTACCTGGGTTTGCAGCCAATGTACCCCTTGTCTCTGCTCCCCCTACTAAACCCAGGTAGGGTCATACCCCTCCCTCTCTGGCCCCTAAATCTCCTCAGATACAAAGAGGAAGCCACGGCTAGTCGCTGGTGGCTCACACCTGTCATCCTAGCTCCTCAGAAGGTTGAGATCTGAGAATTAAGGTTCAAAGCCAGCCCAGGTAGGAAAATCCTTGAGACTCCAAACTCCAATTAACCAGCAAAAAGCCAGAAGTGGAGCTGTGGCTCAAGTGGTAGAGCACTAGCCTTGAGGGAAAATGCTAAGGGACAGAGCCAAAGCCCTTTCAAGTCCCAGTACCAGCACACAAACAAAACCAAGAGGAAGCTTCAAAGCATTCACTGAGTGGAGTTGGCTGCTAAGAGAAGCTCTTTAAATGATGGCTGCGTGCATAGTAGGTCCTGTACCTGGCACATAGTAGGTGCTTCGGCCCACAGTAGGTGTTCTGCAAGCCCAGATCATTCATCTGAAGGTAGTAGGCAGAGAGCGCCCTGCAACTCACCACAGCTCTCTTGGCCCTCCAGCCTCTTCTAGATTGGCTTTTTGGCCATATAATGGGACCAAGAGTTTTCCTGCCATGCATCCCTAGGAGATATGGATTCCACGCCCCTTGGGATGCAGTGCAGGGCTGCTGCTTCCATGGATGGCAAGGCTTCAGGCTCTGGGGCTCACTGGGGCCCAGTGTCTTGTGTGCTCTGGGGACTGAGGCTCAGACTTGTTAGCATTTGTCAAGGGTCACCCCAATTGAACCACATGCTTAGGAAGCTTCTAGGCCCACAGCAGGACGGGGGAGCCCCTCTCCCCTGCATCGCTCCCAGGCTGGGATCTGGTGACGATCTCTAGTCATTCAGTATAAGGACATTGGCGGTAGAGTAAACCCACATGGTCTTGCCCTCCTGTCGCCATCAGATTTGTGGGACAGCAGGGTGGTGGCCACAGACTGCTCATGGACACCGTGCTGTGTCCAGTGGCCTGCTGCAGGCTAGCTTGTCACAGGGAGGTGGGATGGCAGGAAGACGTGAGCTGGAGTTATTCACCTGAGGCTCTGGGAGATATAGGGGCTGGTGATTGGGCATTTCATAGCTGACAAAGCAACTTGTCCCTCCCAAAAAACCCTTTGCACAACATTCAAGCCTCCTTCCCTTCCATCCAACCCTGTTTTGCCTCCGGCAAATCTGCTGTACTGGCTGGAGGTCTCTGAGCACACGTCTCTCTGCCTCTGCACATGTGGTTCCTATCTCCAAGCAAATGTCTGTTCATTGTTCAAATTTGAAAAGCCTTTTTGAATACTCACCTCACCCCTAGGCTGACAATGTCCCCCTCCTGGGCTGGGCAGTTTGGTTTCACTCCATCTGTCACAGTAGATTATCATTTCCCTTAAGAAGCATGAGCTCTGTGGGGGGGGGGGTGAGGGCTGTGACTCCCAGCCAGGGCTGACATAAAGAAGTGGCTCAGTTCAATAGGTGGCTGATCTTTGAATAGATGGATGCTGAACGCATGGGAAAAGAGAGAAGCTGGTGGGATCTTGGGTAGATGATGGGTGCTAGGTAGATGATAGGTGTTGGGTAGATGATGGGTGGTAGAATGTTGGGTAGATGATCGCTGATGGACAGATGATAGGTGTTGGAGTTGGGTAGATGATGGGTGGACAGATGATAGGTGTTAGATGATGAATGATAGACATACGATGGCTGTTGAGTAGATGATGGGTGTTGAACAGATGATGGGTGATGGACAGATGACAGATGTTGGGTGGATGATAGGTATTGGATAGGTGATGGATAGATGATGGGTAATAAGACAAATGATAGATATTGGGATAGATGGTGGGTGATGGACAGATGATAGGTATTGGGGTAGATAATGGGTGATAGGTGTTGGACAGATGGGTGATGGACAAATGATGGATGTTGGGTAGATGATAGGTGATGGGTAAATGAATGGGGCTTAGATGATGGATGAATGTCTGTTGGGGAAGGGCAGGTTAGGTGGATGAGTATATGGATAGATATATGAATGGATACATGGACATATGGATGTTGCATGGATGAGTAAATGGATGAAAGATGTGAATGAATGTTGGAAGGATGGGTGAATGAATAAATGTTGGAAGGACGGATGACTAGATAACAATAAATGAGTGGAGGATGGGAATATGGATGGGTGACAGTGGATGTTGAATGGATGATGGTTAGGTAATATAGGGTGGCTGTTGGATGGATACCTGAGTCTGTTGGTGCTGGATACTAGATGGAAGGTGGTGACAGGATGATTGAGAAGATGGCTATATGGATGGATGGACCCTGGGGGGGGGAGGGGCGGGGCCTGGGTTAAAATGTGTTCTTTCTTGATTCCAGTTCCAGCCAGAGAAGCCTGACGAGTCAGAACCAAGCAGAGGCACAGACTCACTGACTGACCAGAAGCAGGCCGATTCGGTAGTTGGGTTATGGGCTTGGGCACATTGGAAGGGGAAGGGGAAAGAGTCATGTTGGAGATTGGCTGACCTCCTGAGGTCATTCCGATTGTGGCTGGCTCTGTCATGGAGTTATCTGTGTGCATGGTGGGTCCTTGAGAAGCTGGCTAGTGGAGCCATCTCTGATTCAGAGACCTGGGTAAACAGATGGATCTTGGGGTCAGAAGCACAGGTCTTTTCTTCTAACTTGCTGCACTTCCTCTGGAAGGTAACATTGTCTTTCTCCAGGCAAATGGCGCTTTATCCCTGACAAGGGCAAGGTTCTTCCAGGTCTGGAAGGCTGGGCAAGGCTGAGGGGAAGGGAGGGGAGCTGGAGCCAGAAAAGCAGAGAGGGCTGAGGAGGTACCTACTGCTGGCTGGGCCTGGAGGCTCTCCAGGGTCCTAGAAGCACAGAGATGTACACAGGGGGTGAGGCTTGCTGAGCCTGGTTACAGCTGGAGCAAGACTCTGCCTCGCCCTCCCTGTGACTTGCAGACAGGCTGTTCTCATCAGCCTCAGTCTCTAGAGGGGTGAGGTCAGAGCAGGCAGGGAGCACAGGCAGAAGAGGAGACGGACTGTTTTCCTAGGTTAGTTCTTCCCCATGCTGCCTCCTGAGAAGCCAGATGTGACTGTGAGCACTGGTGTGGTGATCTGGAGCTCCTGGGTGTGGCCTTGATACGAGTTAGAGCTGTCCCTCTTTTTAAAATGTTTTTATGTTTGCTGGTTCTAGAGCTTGAACTCGGGGCCTGGGCGCTGTCCCTGAGCTTTTGTGCTCAAGGCTAGTGCTCTACCACTTGAGCCACAGTACCATTTCCAGCTTCTTGGTAGTTAATTGGAGATAAGCATCTCATGGACTTTTCTGCCCATGCTGGCTTTGAACCATGATACTCAGATCTCAGCCTCCTGAATACCTAGGATTACAGGTGTGAGCTGCCACCACCTGGCCAAACTGTCCCTCTTAACTGTGCAGATGAGGAAACAGAGGCAGAGGAGTTGCCATAGAATTGTCATTGAATCCAGTCAATGGCTGGATTCAAACTAGGACTCAGGACCTCTGCTGCCCACCTTTGCCCATACTGCTTCCTGGCTCTGCCCCTGATCTCCATGGCCTCCCACTAACTTCTCAGAGGCCAGACTTCCCATCTGTGAAATGGGGTGGCATGAGAGGGACTCTAATCACTTAATAGGGGCTAGGACAATTTTGCTTTTCTCTTTTGGGGTCATTTCTTGTTACTTCCTGGATCTGTAGCTTTGTGAACAAAGAGGAAATAGCAATATTGGGGGGCAGGGGCTCTAGTTTCCCAGCAACAGGGGAAGCTTCCACCCACCCACCAGTAGCGCCTCATTCATTCATTGCCTCATTCATTCATTCTTTCACTCACTCATATGCACCTAGCCCTCCTGCATGCCAGAGTATGGCAGAGGCGAGCCAGATTGCCACCACGGGCTCTGTCTTGGTGTGTGTGTGTGTCGGGGGGTGTTCATGCTATCCAGGATAATGGTCAGGGCTGTAATGGGTTGTGGTATAGCACACCCCACCCCTAAAACCCCTTCTACTGGCCATGTACTTGGTGGTGGTTAGCTTCCTTTCCTGAGAATCTGCAGATTCCAGATGGGGGACACCTGGGCCCTGTCCTGCCCCCTGCCTGTTACCTGCCATGTGACTTGGAGCCAGACTCTCCACTTTGCAGTGGCCTCAAGTTTCACCTATAAGGATGATTTCAAAGGGGGAGCACATTAGGGTTCTGCTGTGGTATCTGTGTGCAAATCTATGACTCATTCCTTTTAGATAAAGGGGGTTATAAACTAGTGTCCTCAAGGCCAGGCAGGTAATAAAGGTGACAAGTGGGGTTGAGTAGTGTTTGTTTGACCCCATTGGCTCCAGACATTTAGAGGAAGATGAGCCTATCATTTCTACATTGTGTGTGCACACCAGTCCTGAGGCTTGAACTGAGAGCCTAGGTGCTGTTCTTTATCTTTTTCGCTTAAGGCTAGCATCCTTGAGCCACAGCTCCGCTTACGGCTTTTTGCTAGTTAACTGACCATAAGAGTCTCCTGCCTAGCTGGCTTTGAACCATGCCCCTCAGATCTCAGTCTGCTGAGTAGCTAGGGTTACAGAAGCAAGCCAGCGGTACTTGGCTTTCCACATTTGTGTTTTGTTTTCTACTGTAGGCTTGACCTCAGGTCCTCCCACTTGCTAAGCAACTGTCCCACTTCTTGAGCCATGCCTTTGTGACTTTCCACATCGTTAGGTATTGCAAAAACAATCTGAAGTGTCCATAATAATCTCTGGGTTATTTCATGTTAAAACTTCATGCAAAATAACTGGCAAATAAGCAGCGTATGGGCCGGACATAAATCTGTGATTAGCACTGCCCTCCCCCTGGCAGCGCATGGCTTGACATTAGGATGTGCCACACGCCTCTCCAGGGCCAATATTCTGCAAACAAGTCAGGCAGCTTTTTTCCTGGCGGCCCTGTGAGAGGATGGGAAACTGGGCCTCTCTGGTGGTAGAATGGGCTAGCAAGGCTGAGGCCAGGGTTACCCCATCCCACCAAAGGGACCCGCGGCCAACACTGGACCCTGTTTGACAGGCAGACAAGAAGCCAGCAGAGGGCACGGCTGGGAGCCCACTCAAGGGCCGACTGGTGACCTCATGGCGGATGCCCGGGGACCGGCCCACGCTGTTCAATCCGTACCTGCTATCTCTGGGGGTCCTCAGGTGGCAAAGGGTAGGCTGGCTCTAGCAGGGTCTGGAGGGGCAAAGAGGGAGGAGGTTGGTGTTAGTTAAGGGACAGTTGGGGGGGAGGGGGCTGGGAATGTGGCATAGTTGTAGAGTGTTTGCCTAGCATGCATGAAGCCCTGGGTTTGATTCCCCAAAGCCAGAAGAGGTGCTGTGGCTCAAGGGATAGAGCACTAGCCTTGAGTAAAAGAAGCTCAGGGACAGTGCCCAGGCCCTGAGCTCAAGCTCAGGACTGGCAAAAAAAAAAACAAAAAACAAAAACAAAAAAACAGTAGGGGCTGAAAAGGGGGGCTCCTACACAGAGGGAAATGTGGCAGCTGAGCTCCTGGTGGGCTTTCCCACCTCCAGAGGTAGGTGGGGTCATGGTCAACTTCCAGGGTGAGCTGTGATTGGATAGTCGTGTAGCTGACTGCCCTCTATCAGCAGCCCTGGCTGGAGAGCTAGGGGAGGGGGGAGGCGGGAGGGGGAAGGGGAGAGGCAGGGAGGGCCTGCAGGGGCTCTGGGATTGCAAAGTGAGTCTCAGACCTGGACCTGTGCCAGTTGCAGACATCTGGTGTTACGTAACTCACCCCCCTGCCCAGAGGGACCTATAAACATTCAAGCCTCTGGTCAGGACTTCTTCAAGGGCGAAGAGGGGAGGCAACTATGCATTGCCCCACCCCTGCCCCCTTCACAGTTGAGCAAAAAGGGCCTGGCATCCCAGGCCGCCACAGGCCGCCTCAGCAACAGGAGACTCACATCCTTACTAGGATTGGCTCAGCCTGGCAATAGGCCGGGCACCTTAAAGACAAGATGCCCATTTTGCAGAGAAAGGCCTGAGGTTCAGAAGCCTGGGACTCTTACCTGCAGCTGAGCTTGGGGTTATCTGGCTGCAGTAATTCTCTCATCTGAGGACAAGGACAAGCACGTGCCAGGGGAAAACAGCTGAGTGTAGAGAATACATGTGGACGTTGCTTTTCTATGTGTGTGTGTGTGCTGTCCTAGGGCTTGAGCTTAGGGTACTGGGTATTGTCCCTGAGCATTTTTTTTTTTTTTTGCTTAAAGCTAGCACTCCATCACTTGAGCCACTGTTTCACCTTTTGGTGGTTAATTGAAGATAAGAGTCTCACAAACTTCCCTGCCTGGAATGGCTTTGAATCACAATCCACATATCACCATCACCTGGGTAGCTAGGATTACAGGCAGGAGCCACTGGTGCCTGGCTTTGGATACTGCTTCAGTGGAGGAACCTTCAGTTGCAGGGACAGATGTCAAGGAATGGGTGCAAGTGGGCACTGGGAGAGGAATAAGGGATAAGGGGGCACTAGCCAAGGCCTTTGGAAAGTGCAGGAGGAGGCAGAAACAGTGTGTTGTGAGGTGGGCTCACTCATGTCCCCATTTCTCCTGATGGGGAGAGGAGATGCTGGGAAATATCTTCAATCCCTGCAGCCTCTTTTTTGTATCTGTGAAATGGGTCTAATAATTGTGGTCACTTTGAGCCCCAAATCAAAGATGAAGGAATAACTGAACAGCAAATATTTCAGGCTTCCCTGCCCCACTTCAGGAAAGCTAATGAGGGACACTGAAGTTGTTCTAGGTGTTTCAGGAGGTAATAATAGCATTAGAGCAACCTACAAAGGGAGAAATACCCCACAGACAAATAGTACCTTGCTTATAATAAATAGGGGGCTGAATAACTATAAAGCCATCAGGGCACTGGAAAACTCAAAATGCTTTTGTTTTTGTTTTTAATTTGGGGTTTGAACTCAGGGACTCATGCTTGCTCAGCTTACTTGCTAGCACTAAAGCCACACCTAGAGCCTTACTGCTGCAGCTGCTGCTTGTTTTCCTCCTCTTCTTGCTCCTCCACCCCTCCCCCTTCCCCTTTTCCTCCTCCTCCTCCTCCTCCTCCCCCCTCCCCTTTCTCCTCTTCTTCCTCTTCCTCTTTTTCCTCCTTCTTCTTAACCTCCTAGTCCTCCTCCTGCTTTTTTGCTGGTCCTGGGCCTTGACCTCAGAGCCTGGGCTCTGTTCCTGAACCTCTCTGTGCTAAAGGCTAGCATTCTACCACTTGAGTCACAGCGCCACTTCACAACTTCCACTTTTTCTGCTTATATTATAAGGAATTGAACCCAGGGCTTCATGCATGCTAGGTAAACACTCTACCACTAAGTCACATTCCCAGCCCAGTCTTGCTCCTTTCTGGCTATTTTGGAGATATATAACCACGGTCTTGTGGATCATCCTCTTTCCTGCCCTTGGAGTGAACTTTCCTGCCCTGATTGGCTTTGCACAAAGATCCTCTGATCTCAGCCTTCTGAGTAGCTAGGAATGGGAGCCACTGGTGCCTGGCTTGGATACTGCTTTAATGGAATTTTCAGATGCAGGGACAGTTGGCAAGGAGTGGGTATGGGGCACTGGGAGAGGAGTCAGGGGCACTAGACAAGGCTTTTGGAAGGTGTATGGCTGCCCTGGCTGGCTTGGACCTGAGATCCTCAGATTGCAGCCTTTAGCATAGCTAGCATGACAGGTGTGAGCCACTGGTTCTGGGCTCAAAATGGTCTTAACTTGCCAAAGGCCTGTCCTTGTCCCCAGATGAGAATCACTGCAGCCAGAAGCTACCTGGGGCAAGGCGCTCGGCAAGAGAGGGAGGCTGTTTCTCACTGTGAGACCTCGGGCAATTCTGCCCACATCTCAGAGCCTTTTGTAAAGTGGGGACCAGGAGCCCTACTTCTCAGGTCCGTGGTGAGAACAAAAGAAACCTGTAACCAGGTTGGAGCCGCCAACGTCGTTACCGTGTCCCGGACGACGTCCCCATCCAACCAGACCGTCGAGGGCCTGGAGGCCGGGGGGCCTTACGTCGGGGAGACTAGGGGCCACGCCCAGCCACCCCCCCACCCCCCGCGCTGTCGCCGGACCCCGTTAGTCACCTGCACGCCGAGCCCTTCCTTCCTCCCAGCGTCCGGGACTGCTCCAGCCGGGCGGGTCCGCCCTTCTGGCCGCCGCCCCATCCGCTGGCCCCGCCGCCCGGGCGCCCCGTCCCGTCGCACAGGCCACGCCCCCGGCCAGGCTCGCACTCTGATTGGTCCGTGCGCAGCCCCCGCCGCTGTTTGTCCCGGCGTCCTCGCCGCTCATTGGCTCGCTGGGGTCCTCCCAGGAAGTTTGAAAAAAAAAAAGTTTTCTGGGCGGATGGAAGGGGCCGGGGCCGCGCCGCCGCGGAGGAGGGCAG